TGGAGATGGGGATACATGTTTAGGGCTTGCGCTCTCTCTCTCTCTCTCTCTCTCTCTCTCTCTCTCTCTCTCTCTCTCTCTCTCTCTGTCTCTTCTCTAAACTGAAAAAAATACCAATGCTCATCAGTACCAAGACGACTATGATGTACTTTATGCACAGACTAGATCATCACTACTGAGCACCAAAAAGGGAGAGACTGGAATGAATGAGAAGCCTTGTTGCAGGCTTGGAGTTTTGTATTTCTGGACCCTGGGCCATGTCTGCCTTGCTCCTTCTTGCTTTCTCTAGTTTTGTATTTGGGTTTGTGTAGACCTCCTCTGTGGGTGTGACTCATGTAAGTAACTACATAGATGGACACAAGATCACTGTAGGTGAATTAAGCCAAATGTATACAGACAGAAGTGCACACTCCATGCTATTCTAGAACAGGTGAAGCTAGCCTATTTCAGTAGAAACTGGGTCAGGGACTGTGTGTTTGGAGAGTAGAAGGGGATTCTGGGAAGCTCACAGGGAAGTTCTGAGGGGCGGGGTATCTGTCAGAATTGATTGAACAGTTGAGCTGTTACCCACATGAGCTCTGGGTAAACTCCTAGTATAGGTGTGGCTCTGAAATATGACCTGAGTTAGTCACAGGTCAAAGCCAGCCTGTGCCCCTTTTCCCTGATCCAGATTTTAGTTTGTTTTGTTTTGTTTGGTAGCTGTACTTTTTACAGACACCCCTGTACCCCAGACTGTACCCTAGACCAGGCACGCTCTAACCAGCCAGACTGTGGTATAGCTTTGTTGTCTCATTAACTGGCTCTGGTTTGAGGACCACTGCTGGGCCCCTGGATACTATCCCAGACACATGGTGTTCCCTAGCCAACCAAGCAGAAGAACATTAGCAGGCCAGGAGGCCCAGCCAGATGTAGCTTCCATGGTAAATACGGTGGGGCTCTTGGCACCATGTCTCAGTGTACTGTACTGCTGAATGCAGATGTGATTCTTTACAAGCGAGGACCAAAGTGACTTTCTTGGTGTGTGTGTGTGTGTGTGTGTGTGTGTGTGTGTGTGTGTGTGTGTGTACGTGCACATGCACTTGGAGGCCAGAGGTCAACCCCAGGCGATGCTAACCTTTTGATGCAGAGACTCTTGCTTTTATTTGGAACTTATTTGTCTAGGCTAACAGGCCACCAAGCCCCAGGGATCTGCATGACTCCACCCTCTCCCTGCTCTGGGATTGCATGGACCAACATAACATACTCAAGCTTTTTCTTAATGAGCTGTCTAACCCCACTCTGGGCTGTCTTCTTGGACACAGTGTTTGGGTGGATGTCTGCCTGGGGGGGGGAGGGATGCGGGTCCCTCACTTCAAATCCTGCCCAGTCTTGGGAAGCCCTCCAAATGAAGGCTCCTCCCCCAGAGATGCTCAAGACTGTGCCTACAGGGTATTTAAGGGCCTCTTACAGAAAGGCCATGTGGTTTTCAAGTTCCTTCTCCCTGTCTCCTCTGGGGGCCTGGAGACCATTCAGGAGTGTTTCACTCATTAATTAATATTGGGGTACAGAAACCTTTCACACAGGGTGTACTCATGTGACCTGAAGTCTGGAAGTGGTAGTGAGTGTTGACACAGAACCACACTCCTGGATTCCCTGGGACTGTGGTCCTGAGATGTCAAAATCAAGTGGGAGCCCTGAGTCTGAGTGAGGACGGGTGACAATCGCAGCAGGGTGGAAGGGTGACAGGAAGAACCTCACCAACAGTATTCACTGATGGCACAGGTTTGCGGGGGTGGGGCACCGAAGCCCCATTTGGACGAGCCGGGGTGAGCTGTACGTGGGGTACTCAGCCTGATGAGTCACAGCCAGGTATGGGGGGAGCTCAGACGGCCGTGCTGAAGGGAACACCTCTCTCAGGTATGCCAGGTTGGGGTGATGCCTGCCCTGTGCTAACAGTGATTCTCCTTGAATTTTGTCATGAGTCAACTCCTCCTCTTGCCTCAGCCTAGCCTGTCCAAGCAGAGCTGCTAGAACGGAATTGAGTAGATGCTTGTCGCTATTGGGAAGAGGAAGAGAAGGGGTGACGGGGCAAGAACTCGGCCCTGGAGGTAGACTACAGACTACACCCCACGCATTTCACATGATATATACATTGTTTATCTTCGTCTTTTCAACAACTCTGGCAGGCCGAGGCGCTGAGCTGGCGACCGTCCCGACCCAGCTCCACAGGCAGCAAGCATGTGGGACTCTCGGCCTCTTTTCTCCGGCGTCTCCCCACTTTCAGGCCTTGCTCATGGAGTTCCCACAGTGGCTGGTGTCTGGCTTCATTCCAATGTAGGAGGAGCAAGTGTCCTGGCTCCTCATGCCCAGCTGGACCATACCCGGGCAGCAGTGGTTTCTATCCAATTCAGTGCTTGTACGAGTGTCACCAAATACTTCCTGGATACCCTGGTAGGAGAGCCGGCCCCACCTACAGAGTTGGTATCAACAGCTGTGGGCAGTCTAGGCAGGGAAGCTACCCCTGCTCCCTACCCTAAGTCCCAAAGTGAAGAGCATTCCTAGGATGACAGTCCTGCCTAGGGTGCCTAGGGTCTGCATATGCTGGGGTGTTCATCACAGAAGACCCCTCCCCCCTCAGCCTCTGGGCGTCACAGATACCCGAGCACCATTGGCTTCCCCAGCTCAGTGCTAAGAGCTCCTTTAAAGGGTGTGTGTAGCTGGGCCACACAGGTCTACCGTGGCCACTTTGAGGGGACCACTAAGCCAGGCTGTAATGAACCCCAAGACAGCACAGAACATTAAGTTCCAGCAGAGAGCTTCTCCTCACACACGGCAATGAAATCCAGTCAAGTTACGTGTCCAAACTGGCCTACTGTGGCACACTTTCAGGAGCGTCTCTATTCCTTGCTGTGCCTGAATCCCACGGCCTAGCGTGCTTAGTGTGTGGCAGTGGACTTGTATATTTTCAAAAATATTACTGATAATTTGGAAAACACTAAATATAAAATGATAGTGTTGAAATATAAATAACTTCCATCATTTATCCTGTCACTCTTAACATTTCAGATTACTTTTTCCCAATTATTTTTATGCAGGTGTTTTCCTTTAATTTTATTTTAATGCTATTATAATCCCATGGTATGTGAGATGTCCTGGGCTATTCCTTTTAGTCTGTTTTGTTGTTGTTTGTTTTTTCAGGTAGCAAATAGATTCAGTGATCCTGAGACTAACTTTCTGCGCCCCAAGGTCAGGCCGACTGGAGGAGTGAGATTTGGTGACTCAGCAATTATAAGGAACTTGGTTCCTCTGTTTCTGCTCTGGCCAGAATCGTGACTTGGCACAGAAGGAGGTGAAGCCTGTCTCATATAAAGACACAAGGTGGATAATTTCCCACACACAGGAAGGGTGAAGATGCTGTTTAGCTGAGATGAAAGTCCAATGTTAATGACACTGTTTTACAGTGTTGTGAAAAGCTAAAGAATGTGTGCCAGAGCAGACAGCAGGACTCAGGAAGGGAAGTGGAAGCCTTGTGCTCTATGGGGAAGACGAGGAGGCAGAGGAGAAGGAAGAGAAGGAGAGGGTGGAGGAAAGTGCCACTGCAGTAGACTAACCCGCACCTCTTGCTTTTCACACACCCAGGAAGGGCAGTAGACTCTAGGTGGCCCTGGAGGCTACGGGATGGACTCTCTTGGTGACTGCCAGTAGCTCACAATAAATACAGGGCACAGGGCAATGCAGCGCTGTGGAGATTCCATAGTGCAACTACCAGGAACCTAGAGGGTGACAAAGCACAGTGGCTTGGGGTTTCTATTGCTGTGAAGAGACGCCATGGACACAGCAACCCCTATAAAACATCTAACTGGGCCTGGCTTACATTCAGGGTTAGTCCATTGTCATCATAGCAGGAAGCATGGTGGCATGTAGGCAGCCATGGGGCTGGAGAGGTAGCTGAGACTTCCCTGTTTGGAGGCAATGCTGTATGGAGTAACACGTTGGCCTGCCTCGGAGTTCCTGCCTTGAGTTTCTGCCCTTATTCTTCGTATGATGGATTATGATGTAGAATTATAAACTGAAATAAACCCTTTATCCCCCAAGTTGCTTTTGGCCAGAGGTTTTATCACAACAACAGAAAGGAAATTAGAACTTCCTTTCCTTTCCCTCTCCTTCCCCCTCACTCCATCACTTTCCTTCACCCACCCCCTTTTGAGGCAGGGTCTTGCTACATTGGCCAGGCTAGCCTCAAACTTGAGAATTCTCTTGCTCTGACTCTCAAGGACCTGGGATTACAGGTATGTAGCACAGCCTTCAGCTCCGCTGATACTCTAACAAAGAAACTGAAAGAAAAACGAAGCGTTGAAGTCCTTTCACATTGCACCAGTACAGGAGGTGTTGGCTCCTGTGCAGCCAGCCCTTGCCCTAGACAGACCCAGTCTCCCCATGTACCCTGCTACTGCACATTTCCTGCTGTCTGGCTGCTTGCTCTTTGGATAGCAGTCATCCTGACAGGCACAAATATTGTGTGCAATATTCTTCTCTCTGGATTGTTATGTACATCACTAACTAGTTGCATCACGTTCGCTGAATGAGAAGGACCCTGTCATGTGCATCTCACCCCCCTCCACCCAGAGTATTAACTTCCACCATCCATGAACAAGTGAGGTGACAAGCTACATTCACTGGGGAGGGTTGTGTTGTGTTTGAGATTCTTCCAAAAGATCTCCACCACAAACAGGAGGCTTGGTGCCGATGCTTTCCTCTTAAAATTCAGCCATCAGTTCTAAAAATGCATTTGTCTAGCACTACTTGACTCTTGACCCTGGGGTTGCAGGGCTAAGCCTGGCTCATTCCTCTCAGGGGTCTTCATTCTGGCAGAGGAGAGGGTTAGCAAAGAAACTAAACTGTCTGATTATCCAATTGCAGCTACCTTAAGTGAAGTGCGCTAAGGGGTGGGGCAGGTGGCAGTGAAGAAATACTAGAAGATGACTGGAGATTGGGTCTTTGAACACTAAGTAAAAGCACCGTAGAGACCCAGAGGTAGAGAAGGCTGTGGTCATGTGGACATGTTGGAACATTTCTGTGTCATTTCCATACCAAGCCTGAGCCCAGGGAATCCAGGACCAGCCTAGCTCCCCTGCTCACAGGTGGAGGTCTGCTCACTGTCTTGCTGGGCTCAGGAGCAGGGAAGTCCAACAGTCGTCTGCCCCAGATCTGTAAACACAAGCTTTTGTGAGGCACTGAGCACCGGGCATGAGCCCCTTCCTAACAGCACTTCCTACTGCTCTTCCCTTACCTTGGGGCCTCTTTAGGAACCAAAGTGAGGGGCTGTAGAAAGGGACGGGCCCCACCTACCCCTGCCTCTGAAGTCTGTATCACATTGGGGTGACGGAAATCAAGAGCCCAGAATCTGCAGCTTCATTGGCCCGCAAGCAACTATTCAGCCAAGACACCGAGCAAGCAAGGGTCTCAAGTGAGGTGCTCACCTTGTAAACATAAGAACGGGAATTCGGTTTTTAGAAAGGGGGTGTGGTGGCATGAATTGTGATGCCAGCGCTGGGGAGGTGGGCACAGACAGATCTAGAGCTCACTGGCCGGCCTAGCCTACTTGGCAAATTCTAAGCCAGTGAGAGACTTTGTCTCAAAAACCAGTGTGGCTAGCATCTGAGAGTGGCAGCTGAGGTAGGCCTTGGACCTCCATGTACTCATCCACACTCACACACACAAGTCCGTCCCATTTCAGAGCGTCTCAGACAGCCACAGCTTTTAAGGGACAATGACACTGGACCCAGGGGAGGAACCGCTGCATTTCACCTCACTAGGAAGACAGAGGAGACAATGAAAGAACATGAATGACTTCTGAAGGTCTCCTGTCACAGTCATCATCAGACTGCTTGACACTTGGTTGGGCAGCTCAACCTGACTGACAGGATAACCTCACCTGGGAGTGGCAGGAGGCCAGGAGACAGGAGTCAGCGGTGCTTCCCACGGGGACAAGCTTGTCTCCTTTTTCTTGTGCTACACCTTGCAGATGATTCTGGGAACAACAGGGCCTGACCACATTAAAGAAAGATGATTCCATCGTGGATGATTCAGGGGATTAGACAATGACCTTGAATAAACACTTACATGGAAAAAACAAAACAAAACAGATAGACCCTTCCTGCTGTGAAAGGAAGCTGGTGTGACTGCCTCGGCTCCAACTCAGCAGTGGCTAGGTCCCTTTCAGGACCCACGATCTCACACTGGGTGCTAGTGGTGGGCTATCACAGTGTACCTGCATGGTCACTAGAGTCAGCATGTTCACTGGGACCTGCAGGATAGTGAGAGTGATTCTAGAATGTTCTGGAGGACAAAATGAAACCAGTCAGAGTGTGTCTGGGTAATGTCTGTTCTCACAGCTGTGATGAGTGCTGCTATTGTGATGATATACTATTTATGATTTATTTAACCTCCAAGCTGAAGATCAGAAAAGCAAGGCAGTCAACCACTAGCTCTTACCTCTACCTCAGCTCAGACCAAAGAGGTGATTCTTAGACTGCTCCCGATGTCACTGCTCCTCAGATTCCCTCAGACTGCTGTGCTCTCCTCAATGTGGCTGGAGACTAATCCTGAGAGTGACTACTGAGGACCCTGCTCCTCTCTTTTATATCTGCCTCTTCCTACTATGAGTTTGGCCTTCCTATGTGACGGAAGAGAAAGCCATAGGCTGTGTCTGTGGACCTCATGACTCTCTTGAAGCTTTGGGATGACGTCCCTGATCTATTTTCAGGACCACATCAGTGAGCAGAAATACTGTGCAGAGGGTGAGAAAAGACAGGTCCCTGATGCTTGAGTGGAGTCAGGTTTGTTTCTCTGTCTGTCTGTCTGCCTGCCTGCCTGCCTGCCTGCCTGCCTGCCTGCCTGCCTGCCTGCCTGTCTGTCTGTCTGTCTGTCTGTCTGTCTATGCAATCATTATACATGGGCACATACATATAACAGAGGGCCCCTGACTTAAGAGTTTGAACTTAGGATCTCCCACTTCATTGTGGTGTCAAAGCAATCCTCATTTGAAATCAAGCGTGCACATTTTAGCCTGTGAGCTTGTCGCAGGATAGTAATCTGCATCTGATACTCTACCGGCCACGAGTGCGGGCCTCACCCTCACTGGAGTGAACACCCCTCCCTCAGCACACGAAGTTGCTAAGCCTCTGCAGTCTGTAACTTGTACACTGAATACGTTTTCAACTGAGGGCAGTGTGGTGATCTTGACTGTCAACTTGATGAGATTCAGAAGCGCTATGGAAAAAAGCCTCTGGCAATGTACGTGAGGGAGTTTCTAGCGTAGGTTAGTGAGATAGGAGGGCCTCCCTTACCTGGGCACAGCACTGTCCCACAGGTTGGGACCTCAGACTGCGTAAAAAGCAAGAGCGAGCGAGCGAGCGAGCCGAGTAGCAGCATTCATTTCTCTCTACTTCCTGACTGCAGCTGCCTCCGGCACCTGTCACCTTGCCTTCCCCATCTTGAACTGTGAGCCCTGCCTCCAACCCTCCCCGCCTCCAACCCTCCCCGCTTCGTGCTGCTTTGGTCAGATATTTTGTTGATGCAATGAGAAAGAAATTGATACAGAGGGGTTCGGGAACATTTTCACGAGAGGTGTCTACGTATCTACGTGGATAGGTGTACCTGGGCGGGTGATGCAGCCCTGGGTAAGCCCGAACCCTCTCTGTGCCATGGTTTCTCTGTGAACGGAGTAAAGTTTGTGGGTTGATATCATTACAAAGCTCTTTGAACAGAGCCTGCCCACAGCTCCATTTGAATGCTAGTGATTACTGCTGGTTAGATGCGTGAGAGCACATCTAAGGCCCGTGGTTGGAATGTAATGGCAGCTCCCTCACCAGCAGAGTTTAGTCAATAAAGCAGGGGGCCTGACCTGAAGAGGTGGCAAAGAAGCTTCTCCACACAACACCAATAAAGGCATCTTACTTTTTAATGGAAAAGCACTGTGACTCCTAAGTATTTGTAATTTTCTTCAAAATTTGAACATTGGGTATAAAAGGGTGCGTGCGTGGGTGCGTGCATGCGTGCGTGCGTGCGTGTGTGTGTGTGTGTGTGTGTGTGTGTGTGTGTGTGTGTTTCTTACAAGGCAGGATCTATTTCAAATATACACCAGATCCTGACCATCATAACATCTTAGGAAAATGGGGGAGGGAGGAAGAAAGTGAAGGGAGTTGTGGAGATAGAAAAGAGAAGGAAGAGGGGAGAGAAGGAAAGGAGAAAGGACGGGAAAGAGAGGGAGAGGGGGGGAAATAGGAAAGGCAGGAGGAAGAGGAGGAGTAAAGGGAGACAGGAAGGCATGCAGGCAGAGGGAAGGAAGGAGGGGAGGAAGGGGGATGCAGGAGAAACATCTCAGCCAGTCTCTGTGTATCAGCTGCCAGCATACACTCCCTGCAGGCACTCTGACTCCCATTCAGCAGGGGCAGATACCGGCCGCAAGCATCACTACCTTACAAACCACAGTGAGCCAAGGGGGTTGACTAGGCACCGGAACCAGACACAGTCCTTCCTAACACAGGGAAGCCACAGAAGCTCTGGTTCCAGGCCTCCCTCTCCCTCTTCCCTAAGAAGACCTCTGTTTGCTTCCCACTTTCTGGGAGGGAGGCTGGAGAGAGTTCCCTTAGTTCCTAGTGGTTTGCTGAAAACAAGGGACCAAAAAGTCTTCAGCAAAAGGAGATAACAAAACAAACTAGCTGTGTCTTCCAGAACCTGAGGGTCTCACCCCCTGCTTCAGAGAACTTGACTGTGTGCTATTAGCAGGAGGGGGCTTCAGGAGAGGCAGGAAGAAGCAGCTGGAATTACCTCTCATTCAGGACTCTTCAGCCCAGTCTATTGTAACAAGGAGACAGTTCCTCACCACAGCATGCACAAAAATGTGCATTTCCCACAGTTCTGGAGGCAGGGAGTCTAAGATCAGGGTGCTCCAGTGTGGATCTTTTCTGTTCACATGGTGGGGACTTGGGCACTTTGGAACTTTTTGTGTTGGGTGGGGATTCCTGTGAATGACTGGAGATAGGAAGTCAGACTGCACCAGGGACCAGCATCCTGGTGGACTTTACATACCCCCTGACTGCATTAATGAGGTCTCCACTCGCCCTAACTCATCACCTCCCTCCAGCTCTAGCTCTTATACATTATGTGTGGCGGAGTGTTCACACACATCCTTTGGGGATGGGGCAGGTTCAATCCATAACATCCTAAATAGGGAAACACAAAAGGCCGTGGGAAATGCTCAGCTGTCTTGCATTCACAAGGATCAGAGTTCAGCCCATCAGCACCCACATTAAGGAAGGCAGATGCAGTGGTGTGCACTTGTCATCTGGAGTCTGGGGAGGCAGAAACAGGACAATCCTTGGATCCTTGGGGTACTGGCCAGTCAGTCTAGTCTATTTGGCAAGCTTCAGGCTAGTAAGAGACTTTGTCTCAAAAGCAAGGTAGGTAGTTCCTGAGGAACACCAGAAGTTGTCCTGTGGCTTCTACACATATGATTACACATATGCTCTCTCTCTCTCTCTCTCTCTCTCTCTCTCTCTCACACACACACACACACACACACACACATACACACACACACACACACACATGGAAAGAAGATAACCAAATTTGTATTCAGCATGGTACTTTTCTGTGACCCTTTCCCTAATTTCTTAAAACATATAAAGCATTTAAACTATGTTGTTATTGGTGGAAACTGTATGAAGTGATTGTTCAATGAGTTATCATATAGTGAAATACAATATAACACACACACACACTCACACACACCTAGCTAGATTTGGTGGTGAATGCCTATAATCCCACATTCAGGAAGTCAAGGCAGGACAAGCCCAAGTTTGAGGCTAGCCCAGGCTACAGAAAGATCCTGTCCTAAAAGAGGAAACGAGAATGAGAGGGCGAATACTCAAGACTGACCACATCTATGTAGAAATTTTCTTTGTTTCCTGAGATATTGATTTTTAAATATCTGATTCTGTGTCTTTGAGCTACTGAACTCAGGTGAGAAAACAAAACAACAGCTCCCAGTGGGCCTTACAATTCTAGACTGCTTGTCAGTGATGGAAAATGTTAGAGGGTTGATATTTAAACATTAGGATTGTATACATGTTTTCTTTCTGTGTTAGATTCTCCTATGGGTTTACTTTGCTTACATCAGCTGTTTGCCAACTCCAGTTTGCATGCAGGTGCAAGATGCGGAAGGCAGGGTACCCATTGGGATAATAAGTAATATACCGTTATAGCAATACAGGGTTATAAATGGTGTGAGATGACAGTGGCAGGTGTAGCCTGCCAATCTTTTTAGGTGAATTATTTTTAAACAGGAAACTGCTCTGTTAGATTGGCATATATTGCCTGCTGAAGGGAGTCCAAAAGGGGTGTGTGTGTGTGTGTGTGTGTGTGTGTGTGCATTCTTGTGAGAGCACACTCAAGTTTTACACACACAAGCCAATTAAGGTGAGGACTCCCGGAAATTGCTTTTTGAAAAGGTCTACAGGTATTTGGCACAAAGCCACTGCCACTTCATTTGCTGGTGGGAATGAGTTTTGTGGCTAAGTGAGGTAATGACTGACCCCTTCCTTTTTTACAGGGAGAGCCTGTAGATGGCTGAGGGTTGGCAGACAGGGGTATGGAGGTATGAAGCAGATGATGGGCTTCCTGTGCGTGGCTGGGGATAGGAAGTCGGCCTGCATCAGCGGGCAGCCGTGTAGGTGAGCTTGAAAGCTTCCTGGAAACGGGCTCTGGTGTTCAGGACGAATGCCATTTACTCACGTCAAGCAGTCTAGAGGAGGCCACTGTTTGAGGCCAAGCTGCGTTGCTAGTCCCTGGCAGGCCCGAATGGAGGCAGTCACTGATGCTAAGTGTGACCATTAAACTGAGCTTTGAAAACTAGCTTTGCGCTAGTTTCCCCCAAAGCAGAGGAGCCTAGCCAGCTTAATCAACACAGTCATGTTTACCACGGACGGAAAGAAGCCTGCAAAGAGAAGCCCCCTTTTGTTATTATGTTTGCTTTCTCCAGCCTCTTTCTGCCTGTCAAGTCAGCTCACTGGACACTCACTCTATTTACAGGTTGAAACAAACAAACAAACAAACAAAAAGCCCACAACCAAATCAGACCTTTAAACTAGACTCCTGCTACCTTGGGTCAGATACTCATCTCAGGAGGTGAAGGCCAGGATAAAGCAAGGTTAACTTTTCCCCAGCTGACTGCTCTACAGCAATGTGAACACTGTACAAGGAGTTCAAATCCCAGCAAGGTCCGCTTTTCAAGGAGGGTTTCTATGGCCCCTATTGTTACACAGGCGCTTACTTGGAGTCTGGGGTGAGGGTATCAGGGACCAGAATTCAGGATACCTGAAGCAGCAATGGCAAGGTACCTGATGTTCCCATGAACGCATCTTTGCAGGCACCCCACGTGAGTCTGTTACACATGAGCACAGGGAACCCTAGGGACCTGTCTCCAGATCTTAGAAACAGACACCACGATCTAGAACCTGGAACAGGGAGGAATGCGCGTGCGCTCTGTGTGTGTGCGTGGGGGGGCGGCGCATGCGCGGTTACGTTGTATTTTCCGGGACGGCAGGGGCGTGACCTCCAGCGTAAGGGGCGGAGCCTGGCCTCCCTGGCTGACCCCTACTGCACTGCACCTCTACCCTTATGCCCATGGCGCGGCATGTGTTCCTCACCGGGCCTCCAGGTGACCCAGGGCCTGCCAGACTTGGTCGGGAGGGGGCGCGGCCTGGACCTCGGTCCCGGTCTCCGGCTTTGGCTGCAGTTGCGGTCTGGCTTGGTGCATTGCAGCCCGGCGGGAAGAAAGGCAGGGAAGACCGCGTTGCGGTTTCTCCGGTCTCAGATCCCTCACCCTGGTCTTAAGCCACGGAGGCCGAGGTGTGTGTGCTTTGTAGACTTTGAGCAGTAAGAGGTTTTGGAGAGGAGCAGAGGACAGTGGTAGGAGACGCTCCAGCCTTGCACAGTACGCCCAGAGTTTGAAATCGGGGTGCAGTTGGGTCCCCAACTGTTGTGGTGTTCACCTGGAGCCTTTGTCCGTATCTGTGTTCATCAGAGATTTAGTGACCCGGGACCACATGCTCCCCCACCCCCACCTTCCCCCGCGCGTACTTCCATACTAGGGTGTCCTGGGCATCCTGAACCTGCAAGCACCACACGGTCTCCCAAGTTGGTAGTGCTCCGCCCCTTGCGCTGCAGGCCCCTCTCCTGTGTTCTCAGGAGCTCTCTTGCTTTTGTACACACTTTACTGTCTGATTGTTTGCTTACCACTAGCTATCCCAACGGGTTTGGCTTCCCAAGTCCCTGTCCATACCTTCAGACCTCCAGCAGCAAGGTAACGAGACTTACATAAGAAATCCCCCTTTGTCCCCACTTCTCAGAGCGGGCTCTCTGGTCACCAGAGCCCACTCAACCTAAGCCGACCTTACACTAGAGCTGCTATTTGTAACCATTCACGTCCCTATGAAGTAAGTGATGACCTCTGGGATCCAGAACTGTGGGGCTGCTGTGTGTTGTCTCTTTGAAAATAGAAACACACTAAACTTTACATTATTTGTGTGAGTGCATGTGTGGGTATGGAGGTCAAAAGGACAGCTTTCGGGAGTTGGTTCTCTCCTTTCACCATGTGGGTCTCAGGGATGGAACTTAGGTCGTCGGACTTGGTGACAAATACCTTTGCCCATTAAGCCATCTTGTTGTTCCATAAATATACTTTTCCTCCCCTTATAATAGAAATGTGGCCTACTTAGTGTAAGGACAAAAATGAGGTTTGAAGAAAGTGACAGCCCCAGGAAACTCCACCATGTAGAACTAAGTGTGGGGCCTTTGTTCTGTGTTGTTCCAGACCATGTCTTCTGTGGACACATACATACGTTGCTAAAAACCCATGAGGGTTATACTGTGTATTTCTTTTATCAATCAACCTGATTTTAACTGTGCATCATTTTTGTATACTTCAGTCCTTTTCCTATGTAAATAAGCAGTATCCCTTTTAATGGCTGTGTAATATAATCCTGTTAGTTTTGCACTGTTGTGTGCTGGATGCCACAGCTAATATTCTCTCTGTGGTCAACATTTAGGTGATTTTCATTGTTTTTTGTTGCTATGGAGATGCCCATAGCGAGTATCCAGTTCCACACAGTCTTGTCTGGTCCCCGAGCAGCAGAGGCTGGGGTGGGTGTACAGAAGTGGCCCTTCAGGAAAGGAGGGGCTGGCCCACAGGGTCAGCACGAAGCAGATCTCCTTGATCTCCTAGGCAGCAGAGGTTAGAAGCTGATCTTTGTTCTGTGTGGTTGGTACCACTGAGTGCTGCCCACACACAGGGCATTGTTTCAGTGTGGATGTGGTGGAGAGATGTGTAAGATAGGATTAAGAATCAATTGTTTTGAGTATGTATTAGTTATTTTCTTTTGTAACTGTGATAAAGTACCTCGACTAAGGTAACTTGTAGAAGAAAGGATTTATTTGCACGTATGGTACCAGAGAGATTAAGAGTCTCTCACAGCAGGGAGTGTGGCAGCAAGAAGCAGCATAGTGGTTGGAATGGGAAGCTGAGAGGTGAGGCTTTTTAGACTCAAAGCCCTGCTCCTAGTAACATACCTCCTCCAGCAAGGCTATGCTTTCTAAATACCCAAAACAGTGCCACCAACTGGACAGCCAAGTGTCAAAATGCCTGAGACAACATGGGGGTGGCATTTCTTATTCAGTCTACCACACAGTAAACACCCTGGAGTTTCTCAGTGGCAGCCAGGCTGCAAGGGAAAAGGCCTAGGAGTGGAGTGGAGATTAAGAGTCTCCTGGCCTCTGATTTGGGGGTCAAGAGGAAGGACTGCTTAGAGCCCTGGAGCCACTGATGTCAGAGATTTGGGGGAAAAGCTTGATTTCTCTGGGCCCTGGTAAAGGTGGCTTTCACAGAGGAAATCTCAGGGCAAGTCTGTGAAGCCCAGAAATGACCTCGTCTGAGCTGTTTGTGTAATTTAGAACGTGAGTGTGAACTGAGTTACATTTACACTAGAAAGGGTAGGTCTGCATCTCTTGAAGGCTAAACTTTTGATTCCCAGTGCCCTCTATCCAGGTATAGCCAGGTCAGTCCCCAGGTGAAGTGAAGAGGGTGTGTCAGTTAGTCACGTGACAAAAGCATAGCTTTGGGCTCATGGTTTTGGGGGATACAGCCCAACATGACAACTAAGGCTTGGTCCGTGGCAGTGGAAGCAGGTGGAGCTGCTGTTTCATATGTCACTAGACAGGAAGCAGAGGGCCTGGGCTGGGAACCCAGAGGGCTGCAACCCCCTGGTCATCACCGACCCACCTTTATCAGCCTGGCTTCCTGGCTTAATAACCTCCTCCCACATATCATCAGACGCATGAGTGGGTGGGGGAATGCTTTAAATTTAAATGAGAACAGAGTGTAAATCTAGAACAGTGGTTCTCAGCCTTCCCAATGCTGTGATCCTTTAAAACAATTCCTCATGTGGTGACCCCCAGCTATAAAATTATTTCATTGCTACTTTATAACTGTAATTTTTCTGCTGTTACAGATTGTGCTGTAAGTATCTGTGTTTTCTGATGGTCTTAGGTAACTCCCACGAAAGGGCCATTCGACCCCCAGAGGGGTCATGACCCACAGGTTGAAAACTGCTGATCTAGGAGGAAAAGAAGCTGGGTTCCAGATGCATCCCGGGACTGTGTTAGATATAAACTTCATGCCACTCTGTCACCGCTGTGCTTGTCTCCATTGGGAATGAAAATTCCTCACACCTGGAGTAATCAGTATGGCAGCTCAGTTAATAGTCGTAAAGCCCATTTGCAGCCTGCTCTGCTCCTAGTGATTGCTCTGGCCGGCTGGGCGGGCTTGGCAAGGTAAACTTCCTGACCTGTGTCCTTTCTTTGTCGTTTTCAGGAGTTGGCAAAACAACCTTGATCCAGAAAGCCAGTGAGGTCCTGCAGTCCTCTGGGGTGCCTGTAGATGGATTTTACACCCAGGAAGTCAGGCAAGGCGGGAGGAGGATAGGATTTGATGTCGTCACCCTGTCTGGTGCTCGGGGACCTCTGTCCAGAGTCGGGTACTGGTGTTTTGTTTCTTCAGGTTTTGCCCATTTTGTCCTATCCAGCCCTTGGGAGCATCTCTTCTCTGTGTGGGTGGGCATGCACGTTGAGCATGTGTCTGCGCAGAGGCTACTGGAGGACATCTGGTGTCCTGCTCTGTCACTCTGCCTTAGTTCCTCGAGACAGGGTCTCTCACTGAACCTGGAGATCACATGGGACCAGCAAGCCCCAGAAGTCTCCTGCCTCTCCCCCTACAGTACTGGGCCTACAAGTATGCGTATCTCCATGTCCAGCTTTTTACATTGGTGCTGAGGATTTGAACTTGGGCCCTCTTGTTTATGCAGCAAGTGTTCTTGCTCACTGAGCCATCCCACCATTCTGGGAGCCTCTTTCTTACTGTGATTTCTCTACCACTGACTCCCCCAAAGGCTGTGGGGCTCATTTGTGTTGTTCTGCCCATCAATGGGCTGAGAGTCTGATTGGACTCAGGAATAACCAGGTGACCCTGTCCATCTTGTACCTTCAAAAATTTCTTGGAGAAAGAAAACAGACCATCCTGTGAACAATGAGGGTAAAAAAAGTCATGTTTCATTTAAAACATTGGCCACGAATCACATGCATACCTGGTATGATTCTTCACACTGTATCTATGCCACTTTTATATACTTTTTAGGTGATTATTAATTTGTTAGATGTACTTAAAATTACAGCCATGGCTTTCCCATGTTAGGCAAGCCTCTATCACTAAGCCCTCTGCTTGATTTTAAGCTTAATTTGTTTTGTTTTGATACAGTCTCTTGCTATAAAGCCCCAACTGGCTGGAAACTCACAGAGACCCACCTCTCTTTGCCTCCTAGTGCTGGGATTAAAGGTGAATGCTACCATGCATAATACCCCCTGTTTACTTTTCATTTTAAGAAAGCCCACGTTGCCGGAGCTGACATTGAACTCAACTCTTGCCCAAGAAGCTCTTAAATTTTTTATCCTCCTGTCTCAACCTCCTGATTAGTTGGGATGAAGATAGACCTGCACCATCAGGCTCAGACCGAGGCAGGCTCAGCTCTTGTGCTGTGGTGTGTGGGCTCAGTCTGGAGTTGCAGGGACGTCACTGTTACACTGCAGAACTGACTTCAGCAGAAACCATGCTAACATTCACTGAGGCCTTGGTTTCAGGAGAGAAATCCCAGTGGTCCCAAGCTTACACACTTCCCCCCTTTGTATGGGTGTGCAGAGAGCCAGTGGCTCAGCAGAGCAGCCCAACCCTAGAAGTCAGTGGGGAATCCACATCAGTATCTTTTCTTTCAGCTCACAGCATCCTCCCGGAAAGCCCGAGTGCCGAGTGGGGCAGTATGTGGTGGACCTGGCTTCTTTTGAGCAGCTGGCACTACCGGTCCTAAGAAATGTGAGTATGCAGTTTCTGTCTCGAAAGCTCATTGACTTCTGTGCATTGTGGGATTTTCTGGCTTTTCCTGTGATCAGGTTGTGTCTCACAGCTGAGAAAGTCTTCCAGCCATTGAGCCTTGCTAAGGATAGGCACTCTGCTTTGCTGTTACTCTGAGCTGTCACATGTATAAAATAGTTCATGTTAGGAAGGCTCTAATGCAGATCTATGTCCCTGTGCTCTGATGCACAGAGCTTGCTTGAATTAGTGCTGAGGGCCCCATGGACACTCTATACTGCTCTGTGTCCTTCTCTGTGGCACACAGAGCTTACTGACATGTGCTGTCCACCACTTAGGTGGAGTCTAAACTACTGAGGATTTGGTCACTGCCCATCAAGGGCAGCCTCCATCTTAGGAGGCCTGAGGTCCTGTAGTCCCTCCTAATGTGGAGCTGCTGCTCCTCAGATCCCACTGAGGTCCCCTCTGCCTCCTTCCTCCTCCTTTCCTCATTTCCCCTGGGCTGGGCTGTGGAGGCTGCTCCGTTGCTAGCAGCTGGGAGCAGGCAGAGAAAGATGCATCTTATTTCCCTGGGGACCTATGCCTCCCTCTCATATCCAGATAGCAGTGAGAAGTGTCCAGTGACATTCTGGTGAAGAGTCTGGCTCTGGGTATTGGATCCATATAAAGGATTGATTTTTGCTCAGGCAAGTAGAATCCTGGGAGGAGATGGTGTGCCCAATGCTTGATATCTGGCTTCAGGCTTATGCAAGAGTTCATATGTGCTTACTGACCAAGTCAACAATTTGCCTCTTGTTTTTAATGGAAAAAATGGGAAAAAAACCTCTCATAGTTTTACAGTCACCCATGTTTCTGTAATAATTATGACCGTAAATTCAGACCACCAAACTGGACTTGGGTTGAGTAATTCCTTTGGTCTGTGACTGATGCCCTATTTGGTCTTTGTAGACGTTGGTTTATATCTCCCCAAGAAAAGTCATACCACCTCCAGCAGTGATGGCTTCCTGGGAAAGGACCTGAGGTGAAGGTTGGGTGAGAGAGATTGGGGGCTGCTCAGGGCTATGGCATTTTGCTTTTTGCTTCTACATTTTGGCTTTCTGTCTCATTACCCCTGTGTCACAGGGTAAGTCATGGAAACCGAGTACCATCTGGTGTGAACACAAATGTGTTTAAAAGTCTTTAAAAGGCTGTCAGTGAGAACATTCCTGCAGGGATTCCATCGGAAGAGGGACTAGAACCTATGCTCCAGGTTGACTTCTCAGTCCCCCCCCAGCACCTGCTGACCGCATCTTTATGGTCCCTTTGGCACTGCTGGGCCTGAGCAGGGAGGCACTCATTGTGGCTGTGGCCTTCTTGTCAGACTTTCCCTAACAGTTCTACTTTCTCTAAACTTTACTTCGCCTTCTGAGGATTAAAATAATCTTCTCTCAGGCCCCAGCTGGCAAGCAGATTTACCCATCAATCCTTTCTCCACCTTAGTAGCAGCGATTAGCACAAAGTTACCGTGTGGTGCAGGGCTGAGCTCCTAATGCCTTGATGCCCCCCCCCACCAGATCTGATCTTGTCTTTGTGTCCATTCGCCTTGTCAGTTAGAAAACGGGTCATCACTCCTTCCCCGTAGCAAAAACCAATTATCTGCCCCCCAGGCTATCAAGAGAAGGGTGTCAGGCATCAAAGACCTCAAATTTTTATCAAAAGTTGAAATATTGATTCATTCCCCCCCCCCCAGGTTTGTGCAACTTTTAGAGACCATTTGACAGTGTGTGCATCCGACATGACAGGAATCAGAGCCTGCTAGGTTCTGGCCCCAGTTCTGTGTGTGCAGAGTCGCTCCCTGTGGCTGCTCAGGGCCCTGTGTTCTGTGGTTAGGCCTCCCTGATCAGAAAGCTGTACACTCACACCCTCTGCAGTGATGTGAGGATGGTGACGTCCGCCACACCCACAGTGTACATTCCTTGTGACAATGTAAGCCATCTTTATGTATGGCCCTGGCCTCTGTGATTCCCAAGGAACCGCAGCGCTGCTCTGCTTGGGCAGGACAGTAGCTGTTCCATGGTGAGAGGGACTTCTTAGACACAGCTCATGCCTCATGCCAGGAGGGAGTGTACAGACATGGGGGGGGGGGTCAGTCAAGTGAGATGACCTCAGCTCATACTGTGCCGTCAGTGAAGGACATCTGTACAGATGCTCATGTCTCCTGTTAAAACAGCAGGGGACAGAGCACAGGAGTTCTGCTCAAGTCCCAGTGTTGCTTACTGATGAGCTGAGGAGATGGAGGACATGGTAGGCAGCCGTACTGGGAAGGGACCATAGATCACATTTTGATCTTTTTGCCAGGGAGTTGGGGGACAATGTGGAGACATGAATCTGCCATGGAGTTCACAGGCCCAGTGTCCAGGCTGATCCCAAGGGCTTGGATTATGTGTACAGTATTCTTTACCCCTTTGGCTGTCAGATGGTATAAGCTGTCTTGGTCCTAGGATAGCTCTCCTATTCTGGAAGATACCTTGGGTACCACCTACTTCCTGTTTGGTCCTGTAATATACCTGAGCCCCCAGGAACACTAGGCAGAGCCTCAGTGCTTGCCTGCCTAAGCTCTGGGTGTCAGCTGTGTTGTGTATGTTGGAGCAGCTTCCGAGTAAGGAAGGGCCCAGCTGACACACCCTTTCCTGGTCAGCCCTGCCTGGTGTAGACAGCACAACACTGATTGGAACACTGTAGTTCTAAGGCCCACGGCCCTGGCTGGCTCCCTGGCTGCTGTTGTCATTGTCTGTGTGCTTCCTGTCCTAGCATGTGTGGCTCATGGGAGGACAGGCTGCACTTCTGCTCCCTAATGTCTAGTGCCACCCAATTCCTTCCCGATGTCCAGAACCTGCAGTAGATATGCTCAGAAGCCAGACTGTGTGTGATGCTAAAGTCAAATCACACGCTACCAGGAGGAATACTTGTTAGGCAAGCAATTCAGTAAGGGGAGAGCCTCTTTAATTATTTCACTCTTGGTTCCATATTTTTATTACATTAGAAATCTAGGCATGCCTTTAATCCCAGCACTTGGGAGGCAAAGGCAGGTAGATCTCTATAAATTGGAGGCCAGCCTGGTCTATATAGTGAGTTCCAGGACAAACAAACAAAAATGCTTCTTTGTATTCTTTTTTAATTTTCTTTTTATTTATTCATTGTGTCTTTCACATCATACGTCTAAATCCCATTCATACTCATCTCCCTATCCCTTCATACCTGCCCTCTGCCCTTGCAACCTCTCCACAAAAATAAAATAAAATAAGTTTTTTGAGACAGGGTTTCTCTGTGTAGCTTTGGAACTTGTCCTGGAGTTTGCTTTGTAGACCAGGCTGGCCTCAAACTCACTGAGAAAAATAAAATTTAAGAAAAGAAGAAGAAGAAGAAAAAAAAAAGAAAGATCTTGTCATGGAGGCTGTAATATGACATAGTGTATCACACAGTATATTCTTTTGTTCCATATATCTTTACTTGCAAGTGTTCATTGCAAAGAGTCATTGGTCTGGTTTCTGCTACACTATTGATGCTGGACCCTCACTGGGACCCCTCTTGGGATATCCTGCTGTTGCCCTGTGTTGTGGAAATCCTGCAGCTTTGGGTCTACAGAACCAGTACATTTACGTGTCCCAGCAGATCATAGATGGGGTGGACGTTGGGGTGAGCCAAATCATAACCCTGGTTCTGGGCTTGGGTAGTCCACCAGTTCTCCCCACCAGGGTGAACCCTCCAGCATTGCCCCAGCTAGTTTACCCTTTACAGCTGTGACCAAGAGGCGGGGCCAGTTCTGCTTTCATGCCCTTGGGTTCAGCTAACCAACAACTACACCAGCAGGGCCAGTTGTACTCTGCTGCTCAGGTGAGGTGCAGGGGCAGGGACAGCTCTCCTGCTCTTTAATACCAGAACAGGCTCTCCCAACTGCCGTAGATGGCGAGAATGGGCAGTCTTTCTCACTCGCCCACACCACCATGTGACTGATGAAGGGCAGGGCTAGATCTTCCAAGCACAGGTTCTTTTCTTTTCTTTTTTGGTTTTTCCAGACAGGGTTTTTCTTTGGCTTTGGAGGCTGCCCTGGAACTAGCTCTTGTAGACCAGACTTGTCTCAAACTCACAGAGATCAGCCTGCCTCTGCCTCCGGAGTGCTGGGATTAAAGGTGTGAGCCACCACCACCCGGGGCCCAAGCAGGGGTTCTCACACCCCTGTCAATGTCACCAGGGTCAGCTCTGCTGTGCTGCCCAGGTGAGGTGCAGGGCCCGATTTCCCACGTGCTGCAGCTGTAGGGGACAGGGTCCGCTCCGTCACCTGCCACAGGACATCTTTTCCTCACCACATGGCCAGCTCTCCCACTCTCATGCCCTCAGGGCCAGCTCCTCCATGCCCTAACCCTGACAGCAGGGTCAGCTTTGCTGTGCTGCCCGGGAGATGAGCACAGGGCCCCAATTTCCTGAGTGCAGCAGCTGATAAGGGGGAGGGTCAGCCCCTCCCCCAGCAGGTAGTCAGGGGCAAGGCTTCTTTGTGTTCTTAAAGGTACTACTTAAAAAGATGAAAACAAGGAACAACAACAATTACAACACCCTCTTTTTAGACTGGGAAAAGTGTTCTGTTGCCCTGGATCTGTTTCATCTTTCTAGAAGGCCAAGTGGTGGACTGTCACCAGAGTTGATGGGCTGTCCACAGCTCCTGGGACCCCGGGCCAGCAGGTTCTGGAGCTCAGCAACATCTTTTCTCTTAGGAGATTTTCTTGTGGCTGAAGTCAGCTGGCACACTAGCCGAAGCCAGGTGCAGGACAGTTGTGATACAGTGAATCAGGGTATGATGCAGCCCTTGGGAGTGACCCTGCGTATGTCGTCTTCTGGGGAGATGGGAGCCACCCAGATGCCAGACACACAGTGACTGCCATGTAGCCAAGAGGCACCCACAGCTCTGAGTTGCACAGGGAGGACCTAGGAATGAGAGCGGCCTGATGTTGCCATCTTCAAACTCATCCTGGTGCTGTGGGCCGTGACTCGGGAGCTTAGAATCTGGGTTAGGTCTACAGGGCAAGCCTCCATTGACCTGTTTGAATACATATGTGAAAACAGCAGTTGGGGCACAATGATGTTTCTTTTTTAAGCTCTTCTGAATACCCTCTCAAGCTGTGATTCTAAAAAGTAGCTGATCGAACAGGAACTGACCCAACCCTTCCCAAAGCATGGACAGCACATCCCCCCAGCCCCAGCCCCACCCCCATCCCTGGGATGGTGGAATACAGCAAACACCTTCCCAGAAGCGGACATGTAAGAGACAAATAGAATTATTTGGAACACTGACAACTTTGAAAGCCGTCAAATCAGACAAGGAGAGGTTCTGGGAAAGAACATGTGTACAGTGTGCTTACCTGAGTCCATGTGGCTGGTGGTAAGTGCACATGGCCCTGCATGAAAGTACACACACGTGGGTGCAAAGCCCATGCTCCTACACCAGTCCCCTGAGGTTCACCAAGTCATTCCCACGGAAGTGGGCAGCTGCTAGGGCCTCTGCAGGTACAGTGTTTGTGGTTGGTTGTAAATCCGGAACCTTCTGACACCCTCATTCTGTGTGACCAGCTACTTTTTAAATCACAGACTGCTGGTAACCGTTTTCTTTCTCCCAGTTTGGCACTCAGTTTTGAAGACAAAGATTGCATTAGGTAGCGTCTGACCCCACACCTCCTCATCCTGCTGGTGGAGGCAGTGTCCGCCACGGCTTCCCCTTCTCAGCCCTGCAGCTTGCTTCTAATGTGGGGCGGGGGCAGCCCATTGTGGGTAGCGCCATCCCTGGACTGTGGTGGTCTTGGGTTCTTTAACAAGGTGTGCTGAACAAGCCTATGGGAAGCAAGCCAGTAAGCAGCCCCCTCCATAGCTTCTGCATCAGCTCTTGCCTGCAGGTTCCTACCTGGTTTGAGTTCCTGTCCTGACTTCCTTTAGTGGTGAAAAGTAGTGCTGAAAGTGTAAGCCAAATAAACCCTTTCCTCCTCAACTGGTTTGTTGGTCATGGTGTTTCGTTGCAGCAATAGAAAACCTAACTAAGACACGCACGCGCGCACACACACACACACACACACACACACAGTTTACACAGTTTAATTTTGGCATATACATCCATGTTTATATCACCTGCCAGTTCTTCTTATAAAAATACAGATGTGATTATATCCATTTATAAAACAATAGACGTGTACCAGAGCAGCAGTGGTTATCTCTGAATAACTTCCATTTTTGTCTTTATAGCTCTATTTACACTATTTTTATTTGGCAATAAAATTTCATGCATGTGTTGGGCAGTGGTGGTGCATGCCTTTAATCCCAGAACTTGGGAGCAGAGGCAGGTGTATCTCTGAGTTCCAGGCAGGTCTGGTCTACAAATTGAATTCTAGGACAGCTAGGACTGTTGTATAGAGAAACCCTGTCTCAAAAAACAAAAACAAATAAATAAAAATTCTCTCATGTGTACACTGCATTTTGGTTGTTTTTACCCTCCATTACCCTGTCTCACCCCTCCCACACCCACTGAATTCTTCTTAGAAGGTTTGAGATAGTTCATTGCTTGGTCAGCATGTTAGTTATCAATATTCGGACAACTTTTGCTTTGAACCAGACTCCTTTCCACCTCACTTCGTGACTTTTTGTCAACTTTTAGACTGGATTGGAATGCACAGCCACCTGCCTGCAGCTGTCACCCCCTTCCCATCAGAGTTAATAGGACAGAATTGAGAAGAGGGGCTTGGTTTGTGAGGCCCCAGCAGGGCTGTCCTATTTCCTTTATAGCTTTATACTCTCCATCTTTCACTGTTTTCAACCTTTTCTAGAGTGGAAGTAGGAAGCCCGGTTACCACTGGGGCATTCTAGAAGAAAGCACATTTTGTGAGAAACTCAGGCAGGGAGGTCCAGTCACAAGGAGACTTTCATATGAGTCTTGCAGACAGACCTGTGTCTTGTGCATGTGGAGACAGTCCTCTGGTGTGTAGGGCATAGCCTTGCCATGGACACTGGTGGGTAGTTAGTCAGGGTGGGACCCCCTGGGTCGAGATCACAAAGCTATGGTGTCCCAGTGACTGTGCCTTCTGTCCACAGACAGGTCCCAGCCATGGCCCCGGGCACAGCGTGTGCATCATTGATGAGATTGGGAAGATGGAGCTGTTCAGTCAGCCTTTCATCCAGGCAGTCCGCCAGACGCTGTCCACGCCGGGCACTGTTGTCCTTGGCACCATCCCAGTCCCCAAAGGGAAGCCACTGGCCCTGGTGGAGGAGATCAGGAACAGGCATGATGTGAAGGTGTTCAGTGTGAGTAAGCCAGCCCTTGGGGAACTCCTACCCTGTGGTCACATCCTTGCTCCCAATGTCTTCCTCTTCTGCCATCTGCCAGCAGTGGAGTAGTCAAGGCAGGGTTTGGAGTGTTGGTTGGGAAGATCTGTCCAGGGAGGAGCCATGGAACCAGAGCCATGCAAGCCGCATACTCAGTGTCAGAGTTCTAACCCCGACCCCAGCTGAAAGATATGTGCTTATGGGAAAATTAGTTACTCAAGTCTGGGCCTTGACTTTGGAGTTATCTCAATAATAAAATAAAATAAACCTGTTAAAGAATGGGCAAAAGGTTTGAAAAGCTGTTTCTCCAAGGAGCATGAGGAAGCCACAGTAAGCACAGAGAAGACATGTACCCCACAAGCATGGTGACCACGAGGCACCACACCACACCCACTAGGAGGCCTTTCCTGCTGTAGTTAGAGGAGAATGATGGGAAGGCTTGGGGAAACCTCAGCCTCCCTACCCTATTGGTGAGAAGGAACTGAGCTGTCCTGGAAAGCACTCTGGTTTCTCAAGGAGTCGTATGTTAGTCACTATACCAGCAAGTGCACTCCAGGCATTCACACGGAAGACCTGAAGACACTTGAATGAATGCCCACAGCAGCATTGTTCACAATACCTTACAGAATGGGAGGGACCCAGCCATCCACCAGCAGCTGAGCCGATGTGTGATGTGTGCTCTAGCCATCTAGTGTGGTGTTACTCAGTAACACAAAGGAATAAAGCACAGCCATAGTCTGAGGTCTAGATGAATGCTGTATTGTGTCTAGTGAAAGAAGCCACTCACAGAAAGTCACAGGCTCCACGATTCCATTTATAGACTGTCCAGAAGAGGCAAGTGCATTGAGACAGGAAATAGAGTGGTGATTGCTAGTGGTGGGCAGGAAGGGAGGCGGTGGCTGTGAATGGGAGCCCTGTCTGTGATAAAATGTTCACTTGTAATCCTTAGAGGGTGAACTTTCATGACATTGGAACTGCATTTCAGCAAGGCAGTTTACACACATAACACACACAGAAGTCAAAGCCGTGGCGGCACCCCTTTTCCTCTAAGACTCATCGACATGCCCTGTAAATGGTGATGTCCAGTCCCCTCCCCACCTAGCTGCTGCTGGCCTTGCTGCATGATAGCGTGGCAGAAGACATCGCATGCTGAGATACGGCAAGTGTGCCTGCTCAGGTCTCCCTTTTACAAAACTACTAATGCTGGGCTGGTGATGTGACTCTTGAGCTCGTGCTCAGCATGCACAACACCTTGTGTACCATCCACAGCACCCTCATAACCAGCTGTTGTAGCAATGCCTGTAATCCCAGCACTCAAGAGTGGAGGCAGAAGGGTCGGACGGTCAAGTTCACCTTCAACTATGTAGGGTTCGGGCCCAGCCTGGGATGCATAAGGCCCTGTTGCAAAGATAGATAGATAGATAGATAGATAGATAGATAGATAGATAGATAAATAGACAGAAAGAAAAGCCACCACTGCCATCATATGGGCCCTGCCCTCAGGACACGCTTTCAAAGCCTCTTTAAATACCTTTAATGCATGGAATTGCTGGAGATGAGATTTCTGACACATGAACTTTTGGGGATGTGATGAAACCTACCGTGGACAGAAACTTCTGTTCATACCCACATGTTCACTGAAGCGTCTGGGCACACTCCTGCTCTCTTTGATTCTTGTCACTGCTGCCTGTCTGCACACTGTCCACCACCTGACCAGATTCTGCCCAGGCTTTCCTCCCTTGGACTCCTGTCTGCAGCCCCGCCCAGCCTGCACTGCTCTTCAGGAGTCTTCCCCACAGGACCTTTTATACTTCGTGGTCGTCTTTATGTCCTTCCCATCATGGTCTGTGAGCTCATAACCTCAGGGTCCTTATCTGCCGCACACACCAGGCCAGGAGGACTATGTGAGACTGTGCTGCACCCCACTGTCTTCTCTGGCTCCCCTTCCTCTCTCAGAGGAGCAAAAAGCTGAGGTCAGAGGCTCCTTGCAGCACTCAGATTCCCCAGGGTCATGGCAAGACGGGTAGGTGTCATTTGGAGTAACTTGGAGCTGTGGGCAGCTGCTGCAGTGTGCTGCTCTCTAGAGCTCAGGTCCAGTCCAAGCTCCTCCTTGCTCTCTCCCATTTCCAGCCGGTGCCACGCAGCACTTCAGTCACGTGCTCCACATGGGACTGGTGATCCCGAAGAGCTGGCTTCTCTCTGCATTCCCTGCTCTCGAGGAAGCATTGGCTGGAAGCACTGGAGGGAAGTCCTCTGCTCTCTAAGCTTGCTCTCTTGCCTCTTCCCACAGGTCACCAAGGAGAACAGAAATAGCCTCTTGACGGATATTGTGACCTGCGTGCAGAGCAGCAGGACCGGAAGCAGCAGCTGACCAGGTCCAACTCTGCCTGCTGGTCACTCCTGGCCAGTTTTGCTACCTCCTTGTCCATGGGCCTTGTACCCTCTGTCCAAGAGAGCTGGACAGCTGCTTTCCATAAAATGCTTGTGAGACGAGGATAGCCCAGTGCCTGCTGGGCCGTGCACAGTGAACAGTCCACAGTGTCTTATGTATGCTCAAGGGTTCTGTCCATTTCCTGTTGCAGTTGTGCATGTGATTTGAGTAAATTCTAAATGATTGTGTCAAGGATTAGTGGAATTTGCTCCCGTCGGGGTTTATAGATATGTTTGGGGCTGTGGATGGAGTTTAATTCTTCATTGACTTTACATGCTGTGATATTAAATATCTCTCCAGGTGCAGCTCCAACCCGTGCACCGAAAGCAGTAACAACGTGATTCTCTCCAGTTATTTCCAAAGAAAAGCATATTAGTTCCCCTCTTCATCTCTTGTTTATTTCTTTGTTTATTGCCTAATAAAAATGGAAATAAATCTGGTGGTTCAGACACAGGAGTCTGCCTTTGGGAGGGACAGTTTTCAGAATGCTGGTGTCAGCTGATGCTCCATGCGCCAGGCATGAGCAAAACATCCTGTTCGTGCTGAGTTAGCCTGGGCACAGTTTTCAACCACTCTGAGCCCATGTGCCCTTCCAAGAAAGAAAGGGACATGACTGTCACCGGAGGGGGTTTTGGAAGCTGATTTGAACTGCAGTCACCACTGACTGCAGGAGCTCATCTGTGAGGAGTGAGGCCACAGGCAGGGGCTCAGCCCACACTGGGCTCTGTAGCAACTATGGAAACTGCTGGGTTCATAAAGCCAGGGCTACCCTCCCTGTTGCTAGTGACACTGGAACTGTTAGGTCCTTTAGATATTTTTTAGCAGCATTAATGACAACAGCCACTGATGTGAGTACCATGGGTCCTTTACTGAACACACATGGGCCTGTGTTAATGGAGATGCTTGTGAGCTGGGCACTAGGACCCAGTGGAGACTGCAATAAGCCTATAGCTGGGGCAGGATCTCATGTTGGTCTTCCTTCTAGGGTAGTTCTCAAAGCTTAGACTTATCTGTATAGTGGGAGAAATAGGTGCCTCCCTCCACCATCTATGCCCCATTTGTCTTTCCAGGGAGGCCAAGTATAGAGCTTATGGTCTTGGACAGGCTGACTGTGATGCCAGTGGGTACCAGGGCAGGTAGGACACAGCATAGGTTTGGGCCATTGCGCTAGTGCACCTGGCAACCCAGGACCTGAATGTACCTAGTCAAAAGCTGCTGCACAGCCTGGCCCTGTCAGGAAGCCCTATTCAGCGCTTTGAACCTAGAATAAAGGAAGCAGGCAGAAGTGGTGGTGTCAGCATACAGTGTGCTCCTCCTAGGCCACAGGGGACCTGGTGATGGCATCTTACTTGGCCCCTTGAGTGGTGTGCACCTGTAGTTGAAATACTTGGGAAGCAGATGCAGGAGGATGGTGAGCTGCAGGTCAACCTGGCATGATAGGGAAACATTGTCTCAGAAAACAGTTTTAAAATATCACGGCTATGGTAGATGGAAGACTTGGACCCACGTCTGAGCGGCCTCAGAGCCTCTGTTTATTCTGTGCTCCCCTTTGTGTCTTCACCTAGGCTCTCTGTCACCTTGTGAATTGTATGACTAGACCTTACCCTCACACTGGCATGTAATTGTACAAGCTGACACGTCCTTCAGTGACTACTACTCTGACAGATGAGGGTTGGTGTCAGGGAGCAGGTACACAGATTTCAGATGCAAATCCTGGCACTACAAGGAACGTCCATGAAGGGGCACTGGTGTCTCTAATGGAGCTGGATGTGGGTGCTGACTTGAGGAGTTCATGCTGCAAAAGTGCATTGATGTGCATATTGCTCACATGCAGTTCAGCCAGAATGACACGGCAGAACACGCTGCAGCAGGATGACGGAGCACCAATTGACAAAGACTGACGACACCCTTGCTGCCTCCCACTTAGCAGGTCATACCACCAGCCTCTTCTCACCCAGTGTCTTGAAAATCATCTTTCTTGTCTCTGAATGAAGGTGAGCTCAGGTGTGTAGGCCAAATGGCTTTTAAATAGATAATGGAGAACTCCCAGGCTCTCCTGGTGAGTGGAGAGGCTTCTAGGAAAAACTGCAAATTCATGGAAGGTTCTGGGAACGATGAGGTGACCCTGTTCTCCCATCAAGACTGGTGTTCATAGAGGACGGGTTGACCATTATGTGCCACCTGTTCATGCTGTGACACAGGGACTTGGCACAGAATGGCATCAAGTGGGAAGTGGCTGCATAAACAGACTGCCACATTTCAGAGGCAGAGACCCTGGAGCAGCCACTGATTTTAGACAACTGTGTGCCAGACATAAATACTACAGCACATGGCAGGATTTATAGCTGGTACCTAATGAGCCATGATAAACACACAGCCGAGTGTTGCAGTTGTTATATTATCTTTAGGAGAGAAATGCTTTGGTTTAGTGTCACATGCATTTAGACAGATGTCAGCCAAACATTTGAGCCACCCCGGCAGGAAGTGCCATAGAGGCCTGTCTCATACCACCACTAGAATGAGGAAGGCTTTAGGATGCAGGGCTGCCTACTGGGAGGACCTGGGCAACATGTCTACATAAAAATTCTATAATTAAAACCAAGCATGTACAAATCCCTCCCCCCAGGACTCACAGAACCCTGCAAAAGAGGAAGCAGAAAGAGTGTAAACCTGGAGGGCATGGGGGACACCAAGAAAACAAGGTCTTCTAAATCAACATGAGCGAAATTCGTATGAGCGCATGGATACTGAGGCAGCATGCACAGGCCTGCACGGCTCTGCACCCACCCTCTACGTATATGACTTTCCGGTTTCGTGTTTTTATAGGATTCCTGGGTGCAGGAACAAGTGGGTCTCTGATTCTTGGGCTCTTCTGTTTTGTACAATTCCTATGTGTGTTTGTTTTATCTTATTATATTTTATTTATTATCCCTTAGAACCCTGTTTGCTTTATTATGAGAGACAGAAAGAGAATAGGTCTGGAGAGGTGGAGAGAAACTGGGAGAAGTGGGGAGGGGAAGCCATAATCAAGATACATTATGTGATAAGACACCTATTTTCAATATTTAAAAAAAGACCAGAGCTGTAACTCAGCGGACAGAGGCTTACTCAGCACGAGGAAGTCTTATACTCCAACCCCAGCACCACATAAACTAGGCATGGTGGTACACACCTGTAATCCCAGCAATCAGGAGGTGGGCCCAGCACAATCAACAGTTTAAGGCCATCCTTGGATACCTAGCAAGTCTGAGGTCGGCCTGGGCTACATGAGACCCTATCTCCCGCCCCTAATTATACAGTAAACAAAAAGCTAGGATTCAACTCTTAGTATTCTTGAACAGCTTCAAGGACTCTTTCCTTGGTGGGGTTGGTGTGCATGTCCACTTCCCAGCTTACACATTCCTGTATTCCTCCGTGGCCAGGAGGCTGTCCTGGACACCGTTCATGAGCCTGTGTGGATAGGTGGGTCTGGTTCTCACCTATTACAGTCACTCTTTGCCTACCAGCTGGGTTGCAGCTCCTCAGAGAGCTTCCCTTTTGTGGATGCTATGCAGCAGCCAGCTGTGATTCCAGGCACATGTTGTTTCTCACCAGTCTCAAGTAGAGGCTGCATCCCCAGCTCAGAGCTAGCCACTTGGTCCAGAACGTTGGCAAGCGACCCAAGGGGATTCCAGGAGAGGCCAGCCAGGTTTGATTCAGCCTGAGAACAGCAGCAGGTCACACCAGCTTCTCAGATATGCGTGGGACCCAGAAATACTGTTTCTAGAGATTTTCGAGAGATGCCCTGTCTCTGTTGATAGTCCCCCACCTACTGCTATTAATTGCTAATTCTTTTTATGCCTATGTATGTACTCAGGCTTGTTGGTGTCGCCATGCCTCCGTGCATATGTGGAGGTCAAAGGGAGGCCCCTGCTGTCAGTCTCCTAACCTGAGACAGGGTGCATTGTTTGACCATACTAATGCTTAAGAAATAGAAAGGAGATGCTGGAGAGATGGCTCAGGAGTGCTTGCCTGGAAAGCACAAGAGCCTGAGTTTGGTCCCAGCACCTCCATAAGGAAAAGAACAGATGTAGTGACACTCCCTTGTAATCCAGCACTGCAGAGGACACACTGGGGTGACTGGGAGCTCGCTGGCCACCTTGGCCTGACCTGTAAGCTCCAGGACAGCAAGAGGCCCTGTGTCAATGACCACAGTGGGAAGCCCCTAAGGGGTAGTGTCTGAGGTTGTCCTCAGGCCTCTACATGCACACCCACACACACACACACACACACACACACACACACACACACACACAGAGGCACAAACACCATTATTACCTCCTTTCCAGTGGTGAGGGACTGACATGTCCACCCATTGCAGGTCCCGTTTTCCAATCTTAGATGCTTTGGAGACTTGGCTTTGCCTAAACCAAGTACTTCTTTCTTTTTCCCACTTACATTCCAGGAGACTGTCAACACAAAGTCAATAAATGATACCTCTCTCTCCTCAGCAGGAGGTTGTACCTCTGCTCTGTCCTGGAGGAGTATCTGAAATGGGACTTGCCTCCCTCCCCACAAAGGTCTTTCTCAGAGTAAAGAAGATGTGTTTAGGAAGGACAGCAGACAGACACAGCCGTGACTGTAAACATTTTAATCCCTAAGACAAAAGTGTGTGCAAATGTGCTCATGTACAGTAGAGCTTGTTCAGCATGGAAGACTAGCATGCATTCCTGGGAAGCACGCAGGGGTCCTGGATGGCCCTGAACTTGAGGGAGGAGTATATTGCCTCTAAACTCTCATCTTGGACCAATGCATCATCAGGCTGTTGCCAGTGGCTTGCACTTCCAACTGGACTTAACCTGAATACCTGTGGCCTGCTGATGGCCTCAGGAGCTGTGACTCAGTGCTCTCTCATGGTGACAATAATGTGTAATGCCAATAATTTAGCATGCAGCTGTTCTAATGTTACCAGGGCAGGAAGGAGCCAGTTATGGGCTCTACTCATTCTAGTTATTTAAGATATAACATGGCTTTTGTGAGAAATGTCCAGCTCTTGTGCAGTGCTTGAGGGAGGAGGTACAATGTCTTCTCCCTACCTCCACTATGTGGGAGTGTTTTCAAGAACCTGAGATAAAGTTATTGTTTTCTAGAATAGCTCTTCTTTTCCCTCAGGAAGAACCATGTGGCTTTGGAGCAGGGAGAGAGTCCCCATCTCTCCAACCAGACAAGTGTCCCACTATTGCTCATCAGAGGCACTCTGTTGGGAAGCTGTGTCATCCAGGCCCATGTCCTCCTGGCTTGCTCTCCGGCACAGCACCCCCAAGTTCTCTGCCAGCCGTCGATCTGGAAGCTGCCCTTGCTCTGGAGTATCAATGGATTCACACGGCTCAGAGAAATGCTTCAAAAAGGAGAGAAGCAGAGACAGTTTAGTCTATGTTCATGGCCTGAGTGGCCCAAGTCACCCCACCCATTACCCTGACGTCATAGGAGCTGAGGCCAGGGTGGCTGCATGCTTGGAAGGTGGGTTCTTAAGCTGGACAGGACTGGTAGGCAGCCTTTGAGGTTAAGATGTGCCACCAAGCTGCATGTCTACATGGCTTTGCTCAGGAGTGCTGGACATATCAATCCAAAGGGAGCACCAGGGAGTGGCTCCGTGTGTGCCAGCCTGCCACCCTTCCAGCCCTGGTCAACCCTCTCCACCCACCAAGCTCTGGTGCTGATGCTGCCACTGCAGGTTCAACCCAGCAGTTACACAAGAGCCTTTGGATTCTGGATGCTCAGAGTCCTGAAGGCCTATCATCCTTGCTAGAGACAGAAAAGGAAACTTTGCCAGAACCCTTGAAGTACGCCCATAGAGTAAGTTTTAGACAGATGGGATGAGAGAGGAATGACAGTTTGTTTTCTTTTATTGAAGGAGAAAACAAAAAGATTAAGTGGTGATTTTTCTCCTGGAGTCACCAGTATCTTCTCTTTGGCTGGGAAACATGAATCTTCCCCAACTTTGCCTTAACTCATTTTTTTCCTTTCCTAAGAGGGCATAAGAGAATTTCTGAGTGTCTGTCAATCTCTTTCTTTCTCACATATGAATTCTATCTAGTCATCTAGTGACCATAGCATGAATCCTGAGCAAGTAGCATCTTATTTGATTGGTAGTCTCTTTTAAAACTCTGTTTCTGGCATGGAACCACTTGGAAGTGGTTGGTCATCTTTAAAACTGGGAGTCCATGACAATTCAACTCCAGTGTCTACTCTTGTCCTTTTTTCTCCCTCAGGCCAAAGTGGCACAATTGGGAAGAAAGAAATCCTGCTTCCATAGAGTTGTTGAGGGGAGGATTTTCCCCATTCCTAGGCTTCTGACTTATGGAAATAATTACGTTGGGGTACCCTACTAACACCCATGGGGCTTGTGACCCAAAGGCTGGGGATGCTCTTCTGTTTGCTATAGAGCAACCTACCCTGGAAGAAGGCAAACTATTTGGCAGGTGGGTGGGTGCCACAGGCCCTCTGATGCCCTCCTACCCATCCTGGGGCATCCCTTACCCGAGTAGCATGGCCAGCAGCCCTAGCGGAAGGGCCCATCACAATGTTGACACTGCTAGATGACTGTGTGTCACTGGTGTTGCCTCCCTCTGCAGCAGAGAGTCCAGATATGACAAGTGCACTGGAGAAGCTCCTTTTGCCAAAGAGGAAGCTGAGAGTAGAGCTGGTTGAAGAGCCCAGGCTAGACCGAATGAGTGCCTCGGCCCGCTCTCGGACACTCAGGTGACCTGTGGTGGTGACAGGGGGTGGCTGGGAGTGCAGGGATGCGGCTGAGGTGTGCAAGGAGAGCCGGCTGCCCGAGGGTCGCTGGGCTAGCTCGTGCACAGAGCTGGAAGTCTGAAGGAAGGCTTGGTGGCTCTCTAGGATGGGCCCTGAGGAGCTCAGAGTAGGTGGCCTCTGGCTTATTGCTGAGTGTGCCTGGACGGACTGGCTTCTTCCCTTTCTTCTGCCTGTAAGAGAGAGCAGAGCACCTCGTCGAGCCCTGGAAGAAGTGCTTCATAAATATCGGGTGGGATTGGCTCCTTTCCATTGTGATCCATCGATGAGGGCAACAATTGAACTAACCCCTCCTAAGAGCCTTGGGATGGTGGGCTTACCTCCTATGTGCCACTCCATGACTGAGCTCACCTCCCTTGACTGTCCCACCCTGGCTTTGCATGAGGGGCCACAGCTTCAAGACATGAACTTTCTGAAAACATTTTCAATATATATCATCTGAATGCCTTTATATGTATAATTTAATTTCAGACCATATAAACAATATAGGTATATCACCAGACATTATTCCATCATTTTAAATATATTGTTTAATTTTCAATGAAATTTTTTCTATTTTTCTATGTGTATGTTCTCTCTGTCTCTCTCTGTCTCTGTCTCTGTCTCTCTCTCTCTCTCTGTGTGTGTGTGTGTGTGTGTGTGTGTGTGCACTTGAGTGCAGTGCCCTTAGAGACCAGAAGTGTCAGATGCCCTGGAGCTGAAGTTATAGGCAGTTGTGAGCTGCCTGATATGGGAATGAAACTCTGGTCCTCTGTAAAAGCAGTAAGTGCTCTTAATCACCAAGCCATATGTCTTAGGATTTCTATTACTGTGAAGACACACTATGACCACAGCAGCTCTTATAAAGGAAAACATTTAATTGGGGCTGGCTTACAGTTTCAGAGGTTTAGTTCATTTATTCATGGCCTGACATGGCATGGGGGTATACAGGCAGACATGCCGATGGAGAAGGAGTTGAGAGGTTTACATCTTGACCCACAGGCAATGGGAAGCAAACTGAGTATACACTGAACATAGCTTGAGCATAGGAGACCTCAAAGCCCACCCCCACAGTGACACACTTCCTCCAACAAGGCCATATCTACTCTAACAAAGCCGTGCCTCCCAATAGTGCCACTCCCTGTGAGTTTATGAGGGCCAATTACATTCAAATTACCACATCATCCTCCCAGACTCTAATGAAATCTTAAATGATGTATATGACCGTTGTCTTTAGCTGTCCTGGAAACCAATACCAAACCAAGAGAGGAGAATGTGTGCTGGGCTTCAATAATACTACAGTACAGCATTGTAACACCTCAAAGCAGCTAGACAGAATAGCCTAAAGGTGCCTGACATTGAAGTGGCGGATGTGGGAGGGGCTGCAAATACTAGTTACCCTGATTTAATCACTTTCCAGTGTAGACACACATCAGAGTTTCATTCTGTGCCTCAAAAATGTGGACCAATTAAGATCTTAAAAACAGAATATTATATTGCCATAGATGGCCAGGTATACCATTATCTGTGTGGTGTATGGGTATTTGCTCTGCCTGTGCTCAAGAAAGCCAAGTCCACCCAGAGAGACTGGAACAAGGTGGGAGCTGGTCATATAAGTTTCGCTTCTTACTGGCATCATTTTGGACACAGTGATGATAGTGTGATCATTTCCAAAGGGTGTTCATGGGTTTCTTCTACCTATGGGTTGTGAAAATGGAAGTCTCAGCTTGAGGCGCTGCATGGGGTACCCAGAACTGGTTCTGGCTTCTCTGGCCTGAGTGACCTGGAGCCTCTCTGTCTTGGGCATGGGAATGGCCTTGGGCCTGAAGGTCCCTACTGAGAAGGCAGTCAGATATAAGGGGGGGGGAAGACCCCAAGGAATCAACATTATGAGAAAGGGTCATGACTTGTTTATTTGGATTCTGGAAAGGCCAAATTTCTGTGATTTCCAAAGCTGATCTCTGTCTAAAACCCTCCATATCCATCCACCCACAAGTCAGTGTTCTCCACCTGCACTAGGTAGGGCCTTCTGCCAATCCCAAGAATACCAGCAGAGATGCCCACAGAGCATCAAAAGAGAGCTAGCAATACAGTTTCCATGAAAGACAAGAGACTGCCCCAATTTTGAAGCTCCAGCTACTCTGTGTGTGTGTGTGTGTGTGTTTGCACGCGCGTGCGCGCACGGTGCGTGCTCGTGCATGCTCACAAATGTGTGCCTTTGTGTGTGTGGGGCCAGAGGCTGACATTAGGTGCCATCCTCTATTGCTCTCTAGTCTATGTGTTTTGAGCATGGTCTCTCTCTGAACTTGGAGCTGCAAATTAAGCAATGAACCCCAGGAATCTTTTTCTCTACCCCACTCTCAGTGCTGGGATTATGGACTGCTGTTGCTCCCAGCTTTTACATGGATGCTGACAATATGAACTCAGGTCTCCTGGTGTATGCAGCAAGCATTGTACAGACTCAACCATCGCCTCAATTATACCCCAGTCTTTCAGTTTTTTTGTTGCTCCTATTTTTTCAATTTTAATTTTACAAATTAAACAGTACCAAGCAAGCTGTGTTAAAATCATCTGTGTTCAGACTCATTATTTTACAATTAACTTATTTTTCCTATGACTGCATTATCAAATCATGAGCATTTCTAGGGAAAACCTTCAGACCCGAATGAAAACATAATATAAATTATGCTCCTTGGTTCATTATTTTTTCTTTGTCTTTGATGATTAGCTGGAAGGTTGTAGTGAGAGCCCTTAGTGATATAAGACAGTGACCCTTCTCTCTGGTGTGGGATTCAGACTAACGATGGGTTTCTATCCACTTGTGGTAAGTAGGTCACCAGACTCACAGCTAGACCAAATCTGCTTGGCTGTGGCATTTACTGTTTAGTACGATGAGATGACTGTGGGTTGTTGGGAACCTTGTGAGGTTGGCACATGGAGCTCCTGGAAGTGAGTGTGAGTGTGAAATATCCAGCAAGCTAGCAGTGGCTGCTCAGTGTGGTGGCCTGGGGTGGCCAGACACCACCAGTCCTCTGGGTTTCCAGCAAAGGACCAGAGCTGGAATGAATGATGGGAACCAAGGCCAGGAGTAAAGACAGGATGGGGCAGTCATGGGGGCTGAGCTCAGTCACCAGAGGTGGCACATGGGAGGTGAGTCTGTCAGTCAGGAGTGGTAGAAGGTCCTGTTAGAACTCTACCGCTGAGTGAGTCCTTCTACCTCGCCCTTCCCAGAGGCAGGTCCCCCGCCCTTGAGTGACCTCATGCCTAGCTATCACATGACAACCAGAACTTGTGGTTTGAATGAGAACTGCCTCCCCCAAGCTCATGTGTGGCATCCAGTCGGTGGTACTGTTTTAGGAGACTGTGAAACTTTTGGGTGGAGGTGCCTCCCTGGAAGAAGTGTGCCACTAATAGTCCATCCATGCCTCCCTCTGAGCACAGTCCACTACTGTGATGACCAATGTTGGAATCTCATCTGCACACTGAGCCTGCGCCAGGCGCCACGCCTTCCTCACCATGATGGACTCTATGCCCCGAGTTAGTCACTAGGGCTGCTCTGAGAGGATTATGACCTTGTGACATGGAGGGTGACGGAAGGTAAACGAGAACCACAGCCAGCAACTCTTCTTTCTGACTGGGAGAGGGGCATGTCTCTCTCGTTTCTTCTCCCAGTCTGCTGGGCACGGGCTCAGGTTCTGCTTGGATGTCTTGCTCAGCTGTCGTGCCTACTTCCCTTTGGCATATCATTCTGTTAGGATAGGGAGGGATCCTGGCTACCTATCTTGCCCCTGTCCCTGTCCCTGCCCACAGAGGGGAAGGGACTACCTCAGGAGGAATAAAGTGTCAGTTCTACCCAACAGAAGGAAGATCATTGGCAAGTGGGCCCCTTGCCAGCCAGGGGACAGCACAAGGCTGTGGCTGGTGGGGATGTAGCCAGAGATACAGATGGAAGGCTGGGAGTGTGCAGGTGTCCTGGGGTTCAGTGCTCTCAGGGCTGGGACAGAGTAGCAGCCGACGGGAATCCACAGTGGGTAGGATGGCAGTTTCAGGGGCTGTCCTTCCTCATCTGAAAGCCAGGTTGGCTTTTCACTAACTGGGTACCCTGGGGGCAATGACCTGTCTTTTCTGTGCCCCTGTATCCCCATCTGGGAAGGGAAGACAGAGCACCCCTAAGGGCTTAGAGCCATGGGGAGTGTAAGGGAACTTGTGTGAGCACAGCGCTCGGGTGGTGTCTCAGGAGCAGCACTGTGCCAACAGGCTCTGCAGCCGGGTGCAGTGGCCACATGGGATGCAGAATGAGTGGGGGGGGGCACTACAAGCTGGGTCAGGGCTAGGAGACCCTCGCTGAGGATTAGGTTCAAGGGCTGGGAGCGCAGGCTCCAGGTTAGTTTGCCAGCGTGCTCCTAAGTTCAGAGCTGGGCTGGACTTAGTAGAAGAGTTTTAAAAAGCAATAATGAAAAATAAAGGCCCAGTTTAGCTTTTTAAGTATCTTGCACCAACAAGGTCCTCATCATTCCTGCACCTCCCACCTGTGGGTCTGGTGGTAAGTGGCAGGGACCCCACTGCCATAGCCTAGGTCTTGAACAAAGCATGACATCCCCATCCCCGCCTTGCTCTGGGCACTCTCGGGAGGTAGGCACTGCCCTCCTGGCCCCTCTGGTCCAGAGCTGCTGGGAAGCATGCACAGAGGTGCTTGGTAAATGTTCTCAGAAGTTGAAGAGAGAGAAGCTGAGAGCAAAGGATGAAAACACTGACAGATTGCCCAGGGCACAGCCATGGAGCGCCAGGAACCAGGCCAGAGCCTCTGTCTCCCAAGGCGGTGTCCTCTTCGAGCCCATGGCCCCTCCTTCCTCAGCCAGCATCAGAACCTTGTCCATCTGGTATAGTGCATTCCGTGGTTAGGAGAGTAGGGCTCTGAGGTTCAGACTCAGCTCATCCCTTCCTCTGCTCATCCTGCATACCTCCTTCCACCTCATTCTTTCTGCCTTGGAATGTTGGCATGCAAGAAGAAGCAGAGGACCGCCTACAGACAGAGAAGGACACCAGGTAGGTCTGTGGCTGCAACATGACATACCCAGGATGCATATGGCAGAACAGCACTGAGAGGGACAGAGACAAATGGAGTGTCTGATGGTCAGGGAGACCTGCAGACAAATGGCTGCCCAAGGTAATGGATACAGAATGACCAAAGCTGGACCCAGCCAGCAAGAGGCCATGACGAGTACATCTCTTCCGGCAGCCACAACCACTGACCCCAAGCCTTGTTGATTGCAGCCAAGAGGCCTTGGAGATTAGACAGTACATTCCACGACATAGGACCTGCGACCCTGGGCACTCACCTGCCCTATGGCCCCCTCCACGGGGTGAGGCCCATTGCTGGGTGCCTCCTTTCCTGGGTTGTTCTGTGCTGCTGTCCCGGCTTTCTCCACTAGGGGCGTTACTGCCAACTGCTGATGGTACTGCTCCACCATCTACGTCTTCAATGTTGCCGCCACTCCTCTGGCCCACACTGCAGTCCTTTCTCATTCTGTGGGAGGGATGGGAGCTTCAGATTCTCACTAACACATCTGTCATATAGTGGCATGCCACACAGTGACATTAGGTAAGGACAGTGATCTTAAAAGATTGTGTCATCAAGTGATGTGTAGCTGACTTGCTTTTAGCAGTTCTGATTCTGCAGGCTAGATTCCCATTACTTATCCTGCTGACTCCAAACTCTAGCCATGAATGAACTGGGTGGAAGGGTACTCTCTCCAGGGGGACAGTGGCTCTCCCTGGAGTGCAAGTGAGAAAAGGGTTCAGTATCTAGCAAATAGGCACGCCAGGATGAAGACACATCCGCCTGAACCTCTCATGCGAACACATCGGGAGTGCTGCCACATTCAGCGAATGTGAAATGTCCCCAGAAACCAGAGGCTCATTACTGCATGAGGAAGAAGACTTGGTGCTGAGTGACAGGACTGAAGCTCTGACCTGGTTCTCTCCAGCAGCCAATGAGAGCTGGGGAGATGGCTCAGTCAAGCACTTGCTGTGCGGTGCAGGCCTTAGGAGCTGAGTACCGCCTGCGGAACCCATGTGAAAAGGTTGGGTGTGGTGGTGTGCACTTGTAATCCCAGTGCTGGGGAGGTAGACGCAGGCAGATCCCTGGAGCTCCCTGGCCAGCCAGTCTAGCCTAATTGGTGGATTCAGGGCCAATGAGAGACCTTGTCTTAGAAAAATAAATGCTAGCAAGATGGAAAGAAGGGACTCTACAAAGTTGTACTCTCAGTTCCACGTGTGTGGGTATGCCTCAACACTCATCACACACACACACACACACACACACACACACACACACACACACACACAGGTGAATGATGCCTGAAGAATGATATCCTCTGGCCTCTGTACTTACCTGCACAAAGACACAGATACAGACTCCCCCTTCCCTCTCTCTCTCTCTCTCTCTCTCTCTCTCACACACACACACACACACACACATGCATGCACATAAGCATGCATGCACACACACACACACACACACACGAACATACACAAAATAAAAAAAATTTTTAAAAACTGGGCCTGAGAGTGGGGAGAGTGACACTGTGTATATGACATTCCCCATTGGTTCACTCTGAGACCACTTGTTGGGCACATGACCTGTTGAGGGTCTATTGGGTCCATTGGGCACAGCAGGTTGACTCATATAAGGCAACAGTGACCATCTGCATCATGCTACCCAGGAGCTCCAGAGAGCTTGTCTCCACACACTCCTCCCCAGGCAAAGGCCTCTGGGAAGTTCTCACCTCAGCCACCTGGTCTGGAACCATGTCCTCATACGGTTCAGTGTGACAGGTCCACCCCAGACACTCTGCAGCTGCTTGTGGGTCCCCAGGTAGGATGTGGTCAACGGGGAGACATACATAGGGTACCCCAGTGGCTGGTCGCAGGAGGAGTTGATGAGATTGCGCAGGACTTGTTTGTTGTTCTGGATGCTTCCACGCTCTGGGTTGCGGTTACGCAGGAAGATGAGTTCCTGCTGCTGCCCTGCCCAGAGTCCTCGAACACATTCCTTATTCACCTGTAAGCAGGGATGGGAGTTGGGACAAGCACAGGGAACACCAGGTGTCAGTCTGGGTTTAACCCGTGGAGGGTGGGTGTGCTTCTGGGGCAGGGAGTCTGGGATATAACAACTTGGTCTAAGGCCCTTGTTCCAGTCCTGAAAATGATGTCATACTCATGGGGGGAACTTAAGGAAACTAAAAAGGAAGATTTTTCTTTTAGCCCTTTGAAAAGATGAGTCATGGGGAAGAGGGCTCTTCCATCCAGGAGCAGGCAATCAGAGAAAAGTCTGCAACTTTAAAGTAGGCATGGCCAACTTGCAACCGATGGGACACGTGTCCTAAATCATAGATTACTTAAAACATTAAGATACTTAAAAACAGAACAAAGCAAAGCCCTGTGGTGAATTCGGGGGATCCTTCCTACACACTGACTCTCTCAGTAGGGGAGGTAACTCCACAAGTGGACCACGGCTTTCAGGCTGCAGCTCTGGGCTGCCTGCTGGCCAGCACTCATCTGACTTGGGGACCAGTCGTGCCAACTGCCTTCTTTCTTCTGGCCTACCTTGATGACCTTGAAGCTCAGGAAACCCCTGTGGAGCATGATGACCTTGTACTCGTCAGCACCCTCATCCACCACGTGCCTCAGGGTCAGCAGCTCCTCCTTGTTGGACAGCACTGCGCCCCTCCAGGCTGGGTCTCCCTCGTGGCAGATCACTACCTTCTTCTCAAAGGACTGAATGGCCTCATAGAGAACAGCTGGGTCTTCATACTCATCGGGGCAGGTGAACTGGTCCTGGTGGGGAGAGCCCAGGCGGGCTCAGTGAGGCCAGAGCTGCTGGTTCTGGGCAAGGGCAAAGGCGGACTTGCAGTGGCCTCAAGGGCCACATGCTCTCCTCATTTTCCTCCCTCCATCCCCCCACTCCATCACTGAATCCTGAGCTGGGCAAGAGGGCATCTCAACTTATTGTCCCTAACCAGATGTAGCGTTCCTAGGAAACGGCTGCATGTCTCAAGCCTCGGTGTCATTTAAGTCAACTCTCCTCTTCCGAGTGAACCTCCACCTATATGCTCTTGAGGGAAGATGGCCATCAGCCAATGTCAAGTATACTCAGACCCCACTATTTCTAAAGGTAAGTACTGAATAATTTCTGAGGCTCCTCAAAAGAGGTACAAGGTATTTTGTTTTTGTTTTGTTGTTATTTATTTTGGTTTGGTTTTTAGAGACAGGGTTTCTCTGTATAACAGTCCTGGCTATTCTAGAACTCGCTTTGTAGATCAGACTGGCAAGAAACTCACAGAAATCTGCCTGCTTCTGCCTCCCCAGTACTGGGATTAAAGGCATATGCCACCACTGCCCAGCTCAAAGACTATATTTTTACTAATTCATTTTTTTTAGTTTTTTTTTTAAGTTTTTGAGACAAGGTCTCATTCTGTAGCTGAGGTTGACCTAGAATAATTCATCATTTTAATTACTATTTGAGCATGTAATACACATCAGGAAGAGATGAAGGCTGTGTTATTGGCTTTATCCTTCTATATGAACTGTGTGTGTGTGTGTGTGTGTGTGTGTGTGTGTGTGTGTGTGTACACATGTAGAGACCAGAGGACAAATAGAGTCTTTCACTAATACTAGTGGCTAGATTGGCTAGCTAGTGACCCCCAAAGAGCCTCTTGTCTTTGTATCCCCAGAACTGGGATTGTACGCAAACTAACACACCTAGATTTTCTTCCTGGGTTCTATGGTTCAAAATCATGTCCTCATTCTTGCACAGTGAGCACATTTCTGATGGAGGCCTCACCCTGGCCCGCATTATTTACTTTTTCCTCACTGTAATACAGTACTGGATGCAAACAACTTAAAGGGGAAGTTCTCTTTTTCGGCCTGCAGTGTAAGAGGGTTTACGCTGTCCTCCTTGGCTTGAGTTGCTTCTAGGTCAGTGAGGAGGCAGGATATCATGGAGTGGGGGCTCCCTGGGAGGAGGCTCACCTCACAGTGGGCAGGGAGCAGACATAAAGAGCAGATTCTGTTTCCACAGTTTCAGATTAATCCTTTCAGAAGTGGCTTCTTACCTGGTGCAGTTTCAGGGACATCCGGATGGCTGGAACGACAACTTTGTGCAGCAGGTCCATGTCGGCAAATACCCACTCATCTCGAGCTGTGATCCGAAAGTCACCTTTGAAGAGGGCATGCAGCCCGTAGAGAAAGGAATCCAGGCTGCAAAACACAGACACATCAGTGTGGGCTCACTCTGTGCAGTGCTCATGGTCCCTTCATCCCCAACAGCATCTGCATCTCCTGGTTTAAGAATTATCTTCCTGGGGCTAGGGAGATGGCCCTAGCCACACAAGCATGAGGACCTGAGTTCCCAGTACCCCATACAAAAGCCATGCATGGTAGTATATGCTGGTAATCCCTGTGCTGAGGAGGCAGAGGTAGGCTTGGTCCCTGGTTCCAGCAGGTCACCCAATGTAGCTTGGCCAGTGAACTCCAGACCAATGAAAGATGCTATCTCAAGTAAGATGGAGGGTATGTGAGATACAAGGCATGTATGCACACACACAAACACACCCATTATCTTCCTGCATCTGAGACTGACCCAGCATGGAAAGGAAGATGACTCTGGACTTTTCCCAGAACCGCCTGTGCCTAGCACTACAGCTAGGAGTGAGTATGCTGCTGCCTTGGTGTAAGGTCGTCTCCCATCACCATAGGAACCACTGACATGACCTATGAATGTGAAACTGAGATCCAGCTGGGAACAGGCCAAACACATCCACCAGAAAGCAAGGGCAGCAGGCTCAGCCTCTCCAGCCACACTGGCTCTGCCACGCATACCCTGCCCTCACCAGCATCTTACTTTTCTGCTTGAGAGTTCAGGGCTGTCACCAAGCATGGATTTGAGACTGTCAGAGCACGTCTGTCCCCTCTGCCACCCCTTCTTCACAACTAGGGAAGAAGCCGGGTGGTGAAGGTCAAGGTTGGTGGCTAATGGCTCTGCCCGGCTTGTTCAGGTTTCCACATCTTCTTAGTTAGGATTTCTATTGCTGTGAAGAAACACCATGACCACAGCCATTCTTATAAAGGAAATCATCTAATTGGCTTACAGTTTCAGAGGCTTAGTTCATTATCATCATGGTGGGATGTGGCAAGCAGCATGTAGGCAGACACGGTGCTGGAGGCAGCAGGAAATGGTCTGTCTTACCGGGCATGGCTTGAGTGAGCATATATGAGCCCTCAAAATCCGCCTCCACAGTGACACACTTCCTCCGACAAGACCACTCCTACTCTAACAAGGCCCCACCTTCTAATAGTGCCACTCCCTTTGGGGACCATTTTCTTTTAAACTACCACACATGTCCAGGTTTCCCTGCTTTGTTTCACTTCCTGTCTGTCTCACCTGTCATTGAGTGTCACCTGAGTGAAGAATGGGGTGTCACACAAGGGAAGTCTCTCAGGGCTGAGGGCCTTTTCTGAGTGATCATGATGAGTGGGCTCAGGAAAGCAATGTATCCTGCATTCTGGGTATAGGAAGGAAAAATGGCCCTCCTCTCCTCCACCCTTATTTCTATCCTGTGCCCTTTAATGCCCCCCCAGATGCAGGGGTGAGGCAAACATGGCAGCCAGAACCTTGGACAGGGCTGGCCTGGGACAGGAGGTGCTGGACACACATGGTAAAAGATTTTCATGGATTTAATGAGAAGACCTCTTACTCAGTACAGTGCATGGGACCTGTGGATCAGAGAAGCACGCCCACTGCTTGCTGTGGAATGCACCTCCTCCCTTGATGTCCACCCAGGACTCCCTTGAGGAAGACTCTGAGGCTTTAGCTGAGAGCAGTCTGTGGGAAACAGGAGCTGTTGGGGCCTCCTCAAATGGGGCTGCTTGTGTGGCCTGGAGGAACCTAAAACCCTCCTGGAAAGAGATCAAGGAAGTAGCCTTTTCCAAAGGGTTATCTATCTGCTCACAGAGCAAAAGTTCCCCGAGGGGCTGAGAGCAGCAGCTAGCTCCTGGGAGGCAAAGAGGCCATTGGAGCAGAGGGGAAGAGCAGGAAGGCTGGTACCGAGATCAGAGGCTTCCCTACACGAGTGATGCCTACCTTCTGCTCCCCAGGGAAACACCAGAGGATGCCCTGGTGTTGGAAAGGCACGAACCATAAGGGTGGGGATGAGGTGCTAAGTCATGGGTGGGGTGAGCACAGGGAGGTATGGGGACGTCATACTGCATACTCATATGGGAACAGGGGAACAGGGATAGATTCGAGGACTCACCCGGATCCCCCAGGCAACACCCACACACAGGAGCCTCAGCCTGCTGATTGCTCAGCTGCAGGCCATCGCTGCCTCCAGAGCCCAGTAAGACACCCAGGCTCCCATCTCAGGCCTCAGCAGTCTACATGGAGTTGTCAGTTCTCCTTTCAGAGAAAACCACACACTGCAGTGCTTACAGGTGTTTTATTAAAGTGACTCAGCGTGAAACAGAGCCCAACTGAGAATCCCTCCAGCCTGGGGAATCACTCCTTGGCTTCACACATGGAAGAGTTCAAATGGGAGGTGTTTCATAACTGGCCTTTCCCCATGGAGGGAAGAAGGAGGAAGAAGGTATCCGGCAGGAAGCCTGGAATAACGCAGGGCAGAGTGGGGAGCAAGGAGATTGAAAACCTCTAGAATGCCTGCAGTGCATTTGGATTTGGAGCTTCACTGGGCTTCGTCCTCTTAAGCCTCTGTTGAAAAGCCAGTGTGATCATCTGCAGTTATGATCCCTGAACCGGAAGGCAGAGATAGGTGGATCCCTGGGCCTCACTGGGCATTCAGCCAGACTAGCCTACAGGGAGAGGCCCAAGCCACCAAAAGTAGTTGTTTCTCAAACAAAGGTGAATAGTGCTTGAAGAATGGCAGCCAAAGTTGTTCCCTGGCTTCCACACACACATATGTACATTTAACAGACACATGAATACACACACACACACATACACACACACACACACACATACTGATTGAACTGGGAAATGGCAGGCTCCCACCCAGCTGGATCTGGCCGTGAGAGAGTGGCACACAGCATAATCAATGTTGTCTGTCCTGGAGACTAAGCCCGATTCGAATCTTACCAAAGAGGTAAGCAAGACAGGCCATCTCATCATGGAGCCAGGGTGCTGGGGAATCAGCAGAGAGAGAATAGCTGTGTCCAGGCAGGGACAGCAGGAAAGATACATCTGGCCCTGACCCCACCCCTTCCTGCTACCACCGTGCTCATCTTCCTGTCTGACCAGCTCTACCATGACCTTCACATCATGATGAATTTGAAACCATGAGCCAAGATAAATCATTCTTTTAGCTTGCTCTTACAGGCATTCTGATCATAGAGACGAGCACAAAATCTAACACAACCCCTGGCCGCACTGGCTTGGCGGTCACCTGTGCTCTCTCCATGGTGGCTCTCAATCACCAGAATTGGGCCCACAGGGGACATCGGTCTACATCTGGTGACAATTTTGGTGCCACAACTGTTGCAGGGACATTGGGTAGAGGCTGAGGTGAAACATCAACTCCCAGAACGGCCAGCCAAGGAACTGCGAGAGCTCCAATGTTGAAACCCTCAGGTCCATTGGGAAATGAGACTAGCACTGGAGTTGCTGTCATCTAGTAACTGGGGATCACTGCCTGGGGCCATCAGCTGGGTTTGGACCTTAGGCTTTGGGGAAACAACTTCGCCACAGGGATAGTTCCTGCAGGATTCATCAGGGTAGGACCAGCATAGACTGGCTTGTTACACTGCCATCCTCCACACTGCTACATCCAGGCATTGCAAGAGCAGGGTGGCTAGTGAGGGCACACAATGAGGTGAGTCACCATGGCGCTTTCTGAGCTTACTCATCAGCCCTGGGGACACCCAGTGCTCAAGATGTCAGCCTCTGTCACCAACCTCGGATTGGATAGGAGACCTGCCCCAGGACCCTGTTGAGCTCTCTTCCTGTGTGCCTTAGTCCCCTCTGGGACAGCCAGAGTCATTTCTGTGACACGCCATCTCTCTAAACACAAAGAGCCAGGCGGCCAGCGCCACCTCACAGACATTGTGATCACTGTGACAAAACAAAACAACCAAAACTAACCAAGCAAGCAAACAAACAAACAAGCAAACAAAAACCAACACAGATCCTGAACACAGCTCCTGGGTAGCCTGACTTTGTTTTCATCTGTGTCTTTCCATGGTGGCTCTCAACTACTGCCATCAGGGATGTGTTAGAGTCATTGGGTTCTAAAATCAAACTGTCCCCACAGGGGGGCCTGGCTTGTTCCTAGGTGGTGAACACTCAGAATGCCCTGCTGTTCCTTCAGGGCAGGCACTTCCCTGGGAGTGAAGGGACGTGGTCCAGAAACTTAACTCCCCACATTCCCCTGCCTCTGCCCCACCGCACTGGGATCTCAGGTGTGCATGATATCATACCCAGGTTTTGAAGTGGGTAAAGGGAGCTGAACTCAGGTCCCCATTCCGTGCAAGCACTTTATCCCAAACCATCTCCCCAGACCTTATTTTTCATTGTGAATTAGAGAGTTGTTGACAGGTTGGGGACAATTCCCAATAAATGCCTGTGTCATTCATGTTGTCCTGTGGGCCCAGTGGCTGCAGTTGAGAGATGCAGGTGTGTCCTAGTGACTTGGACACTGAGGGTACAGGTTGGTAACCATGCCATGGGAAAGGATCCACGTGGGCAGGAGAAGACATGGTGCCACCCCCAAAGGTACAACATTCCTGAGCTCAGACTACATATGAGCCGTCACATAGCTAATAACCAGGCAACTTCTAGAACCACAGCCCAGCACAGGACAGGGCAACATGGAAGCTAAGCAGGTGGGAGGAAGTGGCAGACAGTGGACTATCTGAGCAACTCCGGGGCTCTTTCCTTCTCTCCTTCCTTCCTGCTTGTTTTCCTCCAGTGCTGGGACTCGAACCAGCGATCCCATACATGCTAGGCAAGTATCTGACCATAAAGTCTACCTGCAGCCCCATTTTGCTCCTGTTTTTTTAAACTCAAATGTTGCCTCATGTACCAAGATTCTGATTTCAGCTGACAACCTAATTTTAATCCTGTAAGTCAGGAGCTTGCATCTGTCCGCCATCAGTTTCTGAAGTGCTGAGTACCAAAGATGAAACCACACAATGGCCACTGATGCCCAGTGACCGAGGGGGTGGGTGTCACTAGTTAGGGCATCTTAGCTGGAAAAGAGGGGGCAGCAGAGCCCAGGCACAGCTTGGGGACAGAGGGTGAAAGGGGGTCAGGGGAAAGTGGTGGGAATGAACTTTTTCAAAATATCAACTTTGTTAGGCACCAGGCAAACATCCATAAGGGGGCTTGCAACAATTTTATTTGAAGTCAGGGTCTAATGTATCTCAGAGTAGCCTTGAACTCACTATGTAGCAGAAGATGACCTTGAGCTTCTGACCTCTACCTCTACCTCCAGAGTGCAGGAATTACAGGTGTTTATCGCCATGCATGGCTTATGCAGTGCTGGGGATTGAACCCAGGACTTCAGACACGCTAGCTAGGCCTTTTACCTATATTCTTAGCCCAACCTCATAACCTGGAAGGTTCGAGACCTGGGATCCCTGTGTTCTAACTGCCCATATTAATATTTCCAAATGAAACAGTCTAAAGTTTGCAATGACAAGAAACATTTTGCAGACCCAAACTGGTTTCCTGAGAAAAGATGCATCTGAAAGGCTTGTGAGCAGCAAGCCAGTTTAGAAATAAAGAAAATGACTGACAGAATCCATCAAACATAAATCCCAGGACCTGCACAAGCCAAAGACATCCCAATGGTCTCCCGGGTACCTCATGGCCATATTGTGTGCTGCTGTTCCCAGAGCTCGCCTTCCCAGAATGCACAGGGCAAAGGAAAGTGTCACCAGAGGTGAGTCTTCATCACTGTCCACATGGTCCAGGGCCTTGGAGAGCTGAAAGATTAAGGGTGTGACCCCAGATGTCAGCCAGGCTCTCATGTGTGCGGCTAAAGTAGGCTTGTAGGTGGACACTGTAGCTACCGACGTACCCCTGAAGTGTTGTCGCCCAAGGCAGTCTCTCTTATGGTTGGACATGGAAAGACACGCACGGGGAAAGCACATCACTTACTTTCCTCAGCGCTGTCATGATATTCCTGACAAGAAGCAATTTAGGAAGAAGGGCATTATCCTGGCCCACAGGAGGCACAGTCCATCCATGACAGAGAAGGCATGGCAGCAAGAGGAGAGAGTGGCTGGTCATGTGCAGTCAGGAAGTCGAACATGAATAGGATGTACGGCTAGACCATAAAGCCTCAAAGCCTATGTGGTGGTTTGCATAAGAATGGCCCCTATGGGCTCATACATTTGAATGCTTAATCACCAGAGAGTAGCACTATTTGAGAAAGATTAGGAGGTGTGTGGCCTTGTTGGAGGAAGTGAGTCACTGGAAGTTAACTTTGAGGTTTTAAAAGCCCAAGCCAGGCCCAGTTTCTCTCCCTCTGCCTATGGATCTCACTCTGCTTGTGTCCACCATGATGGACTAAAAGCAAGCCCCTAGTCAAATGCCTTCTTTTCTAAGCGTTGCCTGGGTCATGGTGTCTCTTCACAGAAAGGGAACTAAGACAGCTTGCCTTAAAGATTCCACAACCTTCCCAAACAACAATACCACTGAAGGACCAAGTGTCCCAACATATAGAGGGGACATTTCACATTCGAACCACAACAGGTACTTTCCTAGGGCAAGGTGGCAAAGGTTAGGTTTGATGAGCAAAGACCCTGGGATTACATATTATGACAGGTTTAGGTCACCGACACTGTCAGACCATGCCCTCTCAAGAATGCCCACCATTACTGGCTCCTAACATGGAAGAAGACCTGCAGAAAGTCAGATCAAGTAGGACTTTTCTTTTCTTCCCTTCGAACAGACCATGGATACGAAACCAATGACTAATTAACAGTTATATGAAGTCAAACTTGGGCCTGGTGGTACAAGTCTGCAAGCCCAGCTACCCGGAAGACTGAGGCAGGAAAATTGTCAGTTCATAGTCTGCTTAAACCATAGAATGTATTAGAAGCCATCCTGGGCAACTTGACAAGACCCTGTCTCAAAATATAAAGTAGAAAAGAGGATGAGAAAGGCATATAGGTCAATCAATGGTAGATCAGCTGATAGTATGGCAATGTCCCAGGTTCAATGCCTACTACTGTGGGGAGAAATATATATATCTTTCTCTCTCTGTCTCTCTGTCTGCCCGTCTGCTGTCTGTCTCTCTGTCTGCCCGTCTGCTGTCTGTCTCTCTGTCTGTCTGTCTCTCTGTCTGTCTGTCTGTCTGTCTGTCTGTCTCTCTCTCTCTCATATATATTGCTCTCATCCTCTTTCCTATACCAACATTTATGGACTCAGCCTTCAGCAAACAAGGTGTGTGGACATCCATTCCCTGGTTTACTCTGTCACTTCTGTCTGTGAGCAGCCATTACTGGGTGTCATCTCCAAGAAAGGAGCCTTCAGATGTGTACTCAGCACACGAGTGCTGTCCTAGAAAATGATAGTTATACAAGCATCTGGACCATCTGATTGCTGAGCATGTCCATGAGTCAATCAATGTGCTCAGTAAATCTTCCTGACATCAGCAAAGAAAATGTCACAGGGCAATCTCAAAATTAATAATAATAGAAAAGTCTGTTTTGAGACAATGGCTTGCCATGTAGCTCAGGCTTGCCTGGAATTCACTACATAGCCTAGAACTAGATGTTCTTCTGCCTCAGCCTCCCCACTTCTAAGGATATATACATAAGCCAACATGTCTGACTTGCTTCTCAAACATAAAGGTGGAGTTCAGATCCCAAGACTTCCTGGGAAAACTTGAGGGCTTCTATAATCACAGCTCTAATAATCTAGTGATCTCCAGGGTCAGAGAAACCCTGTCTCAAAAGTAAGGTGGTGAGACAGCAGACACTGACCTCTGGCCTCCACATACATGTGCACATCCACAGGTAGCAAATAAAATAAAATTATAACAAAAATGTAATCATTTTGTTTTGTTGTTGATGTTGGGTTTCAAATCCAGGGTCTTGTACAATGTCAGGCAAGTCCTCTGTCACTGAGCCCTCCAAATGAAAATTTATTCAGTTTAATTAATTTGTGTGTATGTGTGTTCTCTTGAGATGGGGTTTCTCACTAAACCTGGAGCTCACTAAACCTGATTTGGTGCTAGGCTGGTAGCCAATAAACCTTCAGCAATCCTCCTGTCTCAGCACCACCTCACTAGCACTAAGGCTACCGACATGGGTCTTGCCCCACCCCCCACACACATACAATAAACAATTTTAAACAAGGAAGTTTCTAGTATCTTGATGCTATCCTAGAATTTTAAACTGTACTGACCCTGAGCAGCATTTAAAGGGATGAATCCTTTCAAAGCTCTGTCACTGGAGACAAAAGGAGACAAAATGTGTTATCTCCAAATTACTTGCTTCAGTACTAAACAATTACTTGTTTTAGTGCTAAACACTTATTCAAAAGTTTCCCACCTTATTTTCTTATTATCTACCTTGGAGTGCAGCAAGAGAGAGGAGGTTAAGGACCCTTGTTTTCTAGCCTTTTACTCAGTGGCTCAGCCCCAGGTCCCTCCTACCTCCTGTCTTTTCCCTGCGCAGTACTGAATCCACTCGAGGAACACAGTGCAGTAACTCGCCCGTGTGATCCCCTGGAGACATGGGACATAATCATCATCGATGTTGACGTTAAACATTGCAAGGTCACGCTCGATGTGATGCCACTTGGCGAAGGGTTGTAGGGACTTCAGCAGGGGCTCGTTCTTGACCCATGAGAGGAGTTTGGGTGAAGTGACCATGTAGTATATTATACTCTGCAGAAAGCAAGCAAGACTGTGAGATTTCATTGCCAGTTGGCAGCCATGAAGACTTTACTTTTTTGATTTATTAGGTCTCAGTAAGAAGGGGCTGGAAAGATGGCTCAGAGGCTAAGGGGAGACATCTCTGTCTCCATCAAAGACAGCTTTGGCTGGCAGGGGTCTGAGGCCTCTGACGGGTACTTTTTGGCTCTCAGCACAGCATAGAGGGCTTGAGGTCCTTTAGCTCATAGATAATCTCTAGGGAAACCAGGAATGTTAAACATGCAAGGTTGTCTCTTCAAAAGAAGAGATATATAGCCAAACTGCCCAGAACACTGGGAATGGATGAGGCTAATAGCCTGGTGACTTCTGTGTTATCTGTAGGGCCAGGCCACGCCTGAATCTCCCAGACTCTCCTGTTTATCCCAGACTCTTCCTCCTTTATCTTGAGCATTGTTTCTCAGTCAGTAGAACCCATCTTTATGGAAGAGGTCATATGTACTTAGAAAAGAGTTTCAATGCAATCATGTAGTAAGCTTTGTGGTACACGCAGGATTGAGTTAATTATCATTAGGAAAATACTTTTTCCAAAATTGTGCTGTGCTTAAATATGCATAAAATAAAATTGCCTGGGGTTAGACTCTAAAAAGCTGGAACTAACACCGGCTACTGAGTCGTGTTGAACCAGATTTCCTTCTTGCCACATGTGGATTGACACTCCTGGCCCTGGTGGTTGTAGAGACACCATGCGGAACAGCATAAAATTGTGGAGTCCTCGGTAGGCTTGTCACCATCCATAGTCTTCCCCCAGCATAGGGTCCATCACAAGGATTTCCTCTGTCCTCTCCTGACCTTCTGGTCCCAGCTTCTTAGAACACAACTCAGCCCAGGCCAGCACTCGGAACCCTGGACCACAATCTCATTTTTCTTCACAGGGCATCCAAGTTGCCCATTTCTTCTCTTCTTTTCTTCCCTCTCCGTCCTTCCTCTTCTCTTCCCCCATCCCTTCTTTCGCTCTCTCTCTTTTTTACTCATTGTTGTTTCTAATCTTTGGATTGAATGTTTCAGACAGGGTCTTCTGTAGCATGGTCTGGAACTCTGTGTAGCCAAGGATGACCTTGAACTTCTGATCCTCCTTCCTTCACTCCTGAGTGCTGGGGTTATAGATGTACACCACAACACGGGGTTTTATGCAGTGCTGGACTTTGTGCATGCTAGGTAAGCACTCTGCCAGCTGAGCTACATCTCCACTCCAAAATTCTGCATCTAAGCTGGGACATTTGCACAGCAGTAAATGATTTACTGTGTAACTCTAACATGAGTCCTGCTGATGCGCCCTGGATTTTTAAATTGGCCATCATAGCAAGTACACCCTGCTGTGGTGGAAATGGACAGACAGTCAAGGTTGCAGCCAACCTGCTGTGCCCAGGTTTAGGCTAACACAAAGCCCTGCTGTGTTTTTCAAGATAGAACAAGCCTGGTTGCATCTCTCATTGGGGAGCTAAGCAAAAACCTCTTCACGCATGCCACTTTGCGTAGAGCTTTCCGGGAACCCTGCCTCTCAACCCCTACCCCCACTTCCTAGGCTTTACCCATAGTGTTGTGAAATACATCATACCTTGACATAGTATCGGACAAACACCCTGCGGAGGTCAAATACCTGCAGCATGGTGGCTGCATTGTTGTCGATGATGCGGTAACCCTCCAGGATGTACTGTGTGCGTGTGATCTCCCAGGTGAGCCAGCGCAGGTGAAAGGCAGCATTGCAGGACAGCAGGTGTGGTAGGTGGCCAGGTTTGCAGCAGCAGCAGCCTCTGTCATCCTCGTCACCTTCCATGATGGCCTCTACCTCCCTCTGCTGGCAGTAGGTTCCTGGTCAAGGACACCAGAGGCATTAGATCACGCAGAGGTCAGCAAGAGGGCATCAGATGATCTGGAGTTACAGACAGGTGTGAACCACCTTGTGTGTTGAGAGTCAAACTCAGGTCCTCTGGAAGAGCAGCCCTAGCCACTGAGCCATCCTTGTAGTCCCGAGGTGTCCATTGAAGGTGCTAGAAGGTGTTGGAATCAATTGTGTGTTCTTAGTTTTAAAGCAGGCATGCTAACAGCCATGATTCTCATAACCATTAACTCTTTGGGTGTGTACCTATAAACAGGGTGAGGGTGTGTGTGTGTGTGTGTGTGTGTGTGTGTGTGTGTGTGTGTGTGTGTGTGAATAGGTATGTAGATACATAGGCAAGAGTTTAACCTTGAGGGTCATTCCTCAGGAGCCCTCTGCCTTGCTTCTGTTGAGGCAGGGTCTCTCAGGGAACTGGAGCTCACCACGAGGGCCAGGCTAGCTCCGCCTCCTCAGAACTGGAGTTGCAGGTGTGTGTCACTGCGCTGGGCTTTCTGTCAGCTCACAATCTTTCCTACTCTCCTCTGTTCTCGGTGTTTTTGCTTGGGTAGATACACACCTTTATGGTGGCCACAGACTTGGTAATGAAGACTTGGAAAATCACCTGTCTCTGGTGAGGCAACCTGAGGTCAGAGATTCCTGCCTGGAGTGCCTTCCCAGACAGATAACGAAGTGGAGACCAGAGGAGAGGGGAAGGACGCTTTCAATACATCATAGAAAGAAGACAATATATACCCTGGAACAAGACAGGCAACTGGGCCAAGGACAAGGAATATTGTGGTGGGAATGAGAACTGCATTCTGCCCAGCTTAACCTGAGCCTCGTATGCGGGAACCGCACCCCAGCATCCCAGCCACCACAGGAAGAAGAAATTCATAGCCTTCCATTTCTGCGGGCTTTAACTCTGCCCTCACTTAAAGGCTGTGCTGTGAGGCCTCAAACTGAGGAAGAGTGTGAGAGAGGGGAGAGAGCTGACTGGACCTATCACAGTGGGCTAACCCGGAGCTTCTCTGAGCTTTGGGCCAGAGAGGATCTGCTAACTGGAGTTCCTGTCTTTGGCTTTCCGTTGGAAGGCCCCTGCTGCGGGTTCATCTTAACCTTGTGATTACAATCTCAGGCTGCACATCTGGCTTGCATCATTTGTGTGTGAGCGTGAGGGGGTACATTTATCTTTTTTTTAAGGGGGAGTTCCAGCGCCACGGTGTGCATGCGGAATTCAGAAGGCAGCCAGCTGCAGTCAGTTCTTCTCCTGTACCGTGTGGTCTCCGGGACTGAACCCAAGTTGTTAGGCTTGGAAGCAGTTACATTTATGTGCTGAGCAATCCCACTGGCCCTCCTCTGGTTTAGTTCCAACAGTGACAGGACTTGGGTTAACCTAAGGTTTGTCTCTGCACCCTATATAATGACAAGCAGTTAGAGGTATGCGTGTTGTAGTGTTAGCACTTGAAAGTTCTGAGCTGCTTCTTCTCCCAATGCCATAACTCTCTGCTTAACTCTACAGACCCTAATTTTGAACACTGGATGGCCTTGCACTGTAGATAATAGTCAAATAGAGAGAAGACTCAAAAAGATGGCAATGGGATACGTCCCCAGAGCAGCCAGGTGCCTGCTGTGCGGCATTGCTATGGAGGGGTTCCCTGCAGGAGATGGTACTGTCAAGCTGTGAGGGCTCCACTCGGCTTTGTCTGGGAAAGTGATTCATAAAGAGTGTCCCTAACCTTAGGTCACCCCACACCACACTGAGATCAGGGCATGCTGCAGACTGAGGACCAGGTATGTTTCCAGAAGACCTCTCAGGAGAATGGGGGTAAGATCAGCTTCTGTAAATGGAGGCCATGTCTTCCTCAACATTTTCATAAAGACTAGGAAGGAAGTAGATTGTATGCTGATGATATGGGGTCACATAAATATCCCCTTGAAGACATATTTAGGACTGAAAGTGATCTTAGCATGGTGGGGACAGTGTGCAGAATCTAATACACTAAAAACTAACGAGACTAGAACACCCTACACATAGGATCAAAAGACTAAGCACACAGTCTAGAAATCTAGAGGAACCCATTTATCAAAACCTTGGCCAACGTCACTGAGAGCATGAATCCACAGCAGGGTATCTAGAATCCAGACAGCATTGAAGCAAAAGGCAACTTCAGCCCAAGCCCCACACAAAGGGTCACTAATGAAATGACACTGAGTTAAATGACCCTCTTGCATTTTCTAAACCCTTCCTTTACTAAAAAAGTAACGAGGGCCCAGGGATGTGGCTCAGTAGGATGTGCCTCACCTAGCATGCGCAAGGTCCTGGCTTCACCCTAGTACTGCAAAACATAAAACCTGATGTGCTGGGACACACTTGTAATCCAGCATTTGAGAGGTGAATATAGGAGCACCAAGAGTTCAAGGCCTTCCTCAGCTACATAGTGAATTTGAAGCCTGCCTGGGCTGCATCAGACCCTGCTTCAAAATCAAATAAACAAAAAATAACAACCACAAAAAAGTAGATAATAAGACATGGGCTAAAATCAATTTGAATGGGGTTATAAAGAATATTAATTATACCTGATAAAATCTAGAGAGCATATTGGGGCCAGTGAAATGGCTCAGTGAGCAAAGGTTTTTGCTATTAATTCTGACAACCTTAGTTTGATCCTAGGACCCACAGGCCTGTGCTCTGTGATCTTGGTGGTGGCGCCAGGCTGTGGATGTGATCCCTGACCTCTCCCAGAACAGCCAAAGCCAGGCCCTGCTGCCTCTCTGCCCCACCCCCAGGCTCCATGTTGTCTAGCTCTCTTTCATGAGCAGCTTCCCCTGCACGCCCTAGTCCCACACTTCAGCAACATCGCCCCAGCTTCTTACGGCAATTACCTTGAGAACAGAGGTGAACACTGCCCAGTGTGCGGGAGAAGACAATACAAAAGCATGGTAAGTGTGTCAGAGCGGTTTATAACTTGTTCGCTTTCTGAGCACAACAGAAAGGTTTTATGTCTTTGATGACAACTTTTTATTCCATGGAGTCTGTAGGAATTTTCTTTGCATTTAGATATGACCCTAAGAACAAGCCCCTCCCTGTGTTGTGCGAGACGAGCTAGAGTTTTAAACATGGTGTGACACCTCTAAATGAACAGCAATGGCTTTCAACTTCTTTCTGGACAACATCCACTTATGTGGCGCTTATCAGCTTAGGAAGGTGACATGTGGGTGTCTCATGGGACGCACACACCTACCTGGCCATGTAGATGAGAGAGGTGAGAACTCCCTTTCTGTAGTATGCCCTGCAGTTGCCCAGGGTCACATCTTCTTTAGAATAGAATTTAAAACTGGTGTCTTAAGTGTTAAATACTCTCTGATGAAAAGCAAGTTTCCAGAGAGCTGGGGAGGTGGCTCAGTAGGAGCTGTAGGAGCGCAGGGACCTGAGTCCAGACCCCCAGCACCCACGTAAGAGACAAAATGTTGAGGTGTGTAGCTCAAGCCTATATCCCAGTGATCGGATACAGAGGCAGAGCAATCCCTGGAGCTTGCTGGCCAGGAAGACTAGTCAAGTTGCTGAGCTCCTGGTTCAGTGAGAGACTTTTTCTCAACAATAATAAAAATAATTAGGTGGTTAGTCACTGAAGGACCACCTGACATCAACCTCTGGCCTCCACAAACGTGCAAAAATACACACAAATGTCATACACACAAATGTATACACACCTATACACACATATATTTAATAAGTAGAATTAATCAAAGCTTCCAGGCACACTGGGCAGCGTATGTTGAAATGTGTAATTCTGTAATCATCTCCGGGAATCAGACCTCCTGACTTCCATTCTGTTTACAGGCCAGAAGAACATTCAATCAACTGAACTTGGAGGATGGGGGCTCCTAGTTAATGGGCCATTCAGAGCGGCCTCCTCCTCACACAGCCTTCCTGAGGGCAGGATGCTAAGGTGGCAGAGACTCTTCTAGAGCCCGTGAGACATGTCCTGTCCACCTAGACCTGCCATATACACCAACACGCCTTAGGCTCCTCCAATGTGCTAGCATTCTTGGGGGACAGCACCCTACTTTATGGATGAAGTTTGGAACCCAGGGAATCAACAGACGACTCAAGCTACGTAGACATGAAACTGAAAGGCATGACAAAGAGATGACTGTTGCCAAGAGGAAGAAAATTTAGAGTTTTAAGATAAGTGAGAGACCTGTGTGTGGATCTGCCAGTTAAGATAAAGCTCTGGGTTTGGACTTGCTTTGGATAAGATTAGGCTACATGGATATTTTCACACGTCCCCATGGGCCAGTGGTTATGGGGGTCAGCCAAACTGTGAGAAAGCTGATAGCATCTCCCACAGACAGGAGCATAAATCTTGCTTTTTGATATTCCCCAGCTCCAATGGGAGTGGGTGGCTTCACCCTAGCAATTGCCTGTGCTTTCAGGTCCCTTCTGCGAGGGCCGTCAAGACGCTGATGAATAGCCTGCATTAAAGTTTGAAGGGTTCTGAGAAAATGAGGTTTAAAAATTTAACATCAAATAGACTTTTAGAACGTTTAGACATCCCTTATTTCAGTCTTTCCTTATTCAACCTCATCCCTCCTCCTCCTCTCATCTCTATTCCTTCCCTCCTCTCCTCCTCCCTCCACTCCCTTCTCTCCTCACCTTCCTCTTTTCTCCCGTCTCCACTCCCCTTTCCTCCTCCTTCCCCTCCTTCTCTTTATGTCCTCCCTTTTTCCTCTCTCCCTCCTTCCTTCCCCACCTCCCTCTCTCCTCCTCCTCCCCCTCCCTCTTCTTCCTCTCTACTTCCTTCCCTCCCTTTCTTGTTTCCCTCTTCTTCCTCCCTTCTCCCTATTTCCTCCTCTCCTTCCCTCTTCCCCTCATACTCATGGAAGCACCTGTAGACATGGACACTCGCTTCCCTCTAAACAGCAGCCAAGCCTTCAGCGGCCACTTTGTCTCTAATGTTTCAGCTCCTGAGTTCATTGCCCCTTTCTGGGC